CAGAGGACACTCTGCAGCCAGTGAGAGAGGTTGCCTGGGACTGGCAGAAGTACTGTAACACTGTTCTAGCTCTGAGAATGGTGTTCTGGCGCATTCTGACACAACCTGAGCGCTGCCCCCACCCCTTCTCAGCCCAACGTGCCTCAGCCATGACTCTAGAGTGCAAAGGAGTGGGGTCTTCAGGGCCTGCTCAGTCCTTGGCTTCTCCACTGAGATGGGCAATGGTTTTGGTGATTTGGACACCTGCTTGCCGGGAAATGTATTGAAACCCACCAAACGCATTTCACTAAGGCCACCAGATGGCCACCAGCGGGTAACAACTTTGGATCATTTGGAATTCCTTAGCGACGCTAACCTTTTAGAGAGGCACTTTCCTGATTCAGCATGCTGTTACTAATAATAGATGGTAACAGCATGGCCGCATGGCTAAAGCTGCCCAGCTGCAGGAAATCCCAGAGTAGGGACATCAGGACAAGTGGGTCTTGTTTTTCAAAAGAGCAAGTGCATATGCAGGGGCCCTGGATTTGCTCGGGGCAGCCAAGTAGCCCCGGTGGGATCCAGGTAAACTAGGGTGCGGATGTGCCCATAGTCATCAGAGAGATTCCTCTGCAAGGAGCACGAGCTCTCATGCCTGGCCTCACTCAGACTCTGTGTGCTTCCCAAAGAAACAAAGTGGGGGTAAAAGCTACAGGGCATTCCTGACTTCACCAGGAGTCTGGTGGTGGAGAAAAGTGCCAGGTTGCCATGCCAGGGGCCATTGGCCTCTGCTTGTCTACAGCACAAGGACAGCATGGGCAGTGGCACAGCAAGTGCCTCCCAATCCCCACCTGCAGGACCACCCATAGGAAGAAGAGGCAGCTCCAGTGTCTGGGGCCCAGTGGCCCCTCTGCTTCCACTCCCAACAAGGGGAACAGGTGTGGTGTGGACACTTGAACTGAGACACTCAGCTCATTTCATGCCAGCCAATCAGCCAGCAGGTGGGATGGTCACTGGGTACCTGGGGATGGACTGAGATAAAGGACCTTCACCTGACTCCCATCCTCCCCCAGCCAGTTCCCCACCACCGCCACCACCACTTGGGGGAGATTTGGAACCTGTTCCATTTGCAGCGAACAGCTGCAGTTTGGCTTTCCACTCCCCGGAGCCAGCCAGCCCTTCCAGATTTGCCTTTTACTCCACACATGTTCTGCATCAGGAAAGTTGAGTAAAATGAGGGGAAGGGATTACCCGGGCTGCTGTTCCTGGTGCTGGCAGGGCTGCGGGCCTGAGCTGCACGGGGAGAGGCTGGGCCGAGGATTTCCCAGTCCTCAGCGCAGACCTCACAACTAACGAGCAAGAGATTGTTGCAGAGCCAAGCCCATGTCCGCGTTCAGCACCATGGAGAGCTGCCCGAGGCATGGCCCGGCCTGACCCAGCCAGCCTGCAGGAAGGATCCCGGGAGGAGGCAGAGCCGCCCCTGCATGGGGGGAAGGCAGGACGGCAAGAAGCAGCCGGCGGCCCATGCTCCGCGCAGAGAGCCCTTTGCAGACCGTCACCCCAGCAGGTGTCAGCCCGGTGACCAGCAACAGGTCTGCAGCGAGCCAGGGACTCGCGCCCCCAGCGCCCGGCCCAGGGTAACGGGCTGGCGCTCTGCCCCTCCCCTGCACAGCGCAGGGGGCACGGCTCTCTCTCTCTGCCCGGCCACGGCCCCCGACCTTCCCCAGGCATGGCCCCTTGCCAGGCCGGCCCCTGCCCTGCCCGGGCACGGCCCCCCCGGCTCTCACCGTCGCAGTTGACCAGGATGATGGCCAGCATGTAGTCCTTGCCCAGCATGGCCTCGGCGAGCCGGGCGCCCGGAGACGGGACGCGGCGAGCGGCGGCTGCAGGGCGATCAGCGGGCTGGAGCGCGGGGCGGGGCTGGAGGAGGCTCCAGGCAGGGGAGGCGGGGCCGGGGGAGGGGGCTGGAGGGGAGGTGCACGGGGCGGGGCAGAAGGGAGGAGCAGTGGGTCCGTGGCGTGCCAGAGGCCCAGAGTCTCGGGGGGAGCCAGGCTAGAGGGGCTGGGGAGAATGTGGGGTGCGGGTCGAGGGGGCTCATTTGCCGGGGCAGGCCGCGGCTGCAGCCAGGCGAGCTGGCCAAAGGCGGCCACTCTGCGCAGTGTTCATCAGGGTCACTGCAGCGGTGAGGCAGAGGCCTGGCCGGAGGGGCTGTGACACTTCCGGCCCTCATCTGAGACCCGGCTTTGCTCCGTCCGGGAAGGGAGCATCTGGCCAGCTCTGTTCAGCAAGGATCCAGGTCCAAGGGGATCCTGAGGGTCCCACTGGCTCCCACACCCATCACCCTAGTATCTGTAATGGGACCCGACTCCCCTTTCCCAGCAGGGCCAGGAAAACCATGTGGTCTAAGGAGACAATGTTGAGAGCAGCTTCTTTCATCAGTGGGACCAGATTCAGCCACCCATCTCTGCCATAGGGCATTTGGGAGAGGGGGTGGGGAGCAGCTTCCCACCCAAAGCTGTAGGCGGAAGGATTATTGTGGGCAAACTGCTGTTGTCTCTAGCTTTCCCTGGTAGAAACACCTCTCCCAAGGAGCAGAGCTTGCTCTACCGTGGTAGGTACAAGGATTGGGGTTCTTGGGAGAAGAACACTGGGTATTTAAGTGAAATATAAAGGGTTCCACTCAGCCCCACTCAGACACAAACTAAAGGGGCAGCTCCTTTCTGTACCTTGGGGGACAAAGTTCAAGGCTGGCTTTGACCATCACACAGCCCCTCCTCATTCAACACAGCCCACTCTGTGTCACAGTGAAGAGGGATACTGATCTTAGAAGGGCCTCTCTGTCTAGCTAACTCTAAGGAGTCATCCCAACCCCACTAAGAGGAAACATGGGCTTGTAGGTAAACCAGAGGGCAAGGAGTCAGGAGACCAGGGCTCTGTTCCCAGCATTGCTGTCACCAATGATAAATCACTTCCTATTCTGCTTCCTTGGTTTACCCATCTGTTGTGAGACTTAATTGCTCAGTGCTGGTAAAGTGCTTGGAGATTCTCAGCTAGAAGGTGCTAGAGACAGGCAGAGAACTATTATTCAGCATTTACAAATGCCTTAGCTAGAGAGATGCCAAAGGGATATTCTCCAGTGCTGTCTGGTGTTTCATAATGACCTCAGTCAGATTCCAAGGCCAGAAGGAACCATTGTGATCATCTAGTCTGACCTCCTGTGTAACACAGGCCAGAGAACTGTCCCCAAATAATTCCTAGAGCAGATCTTTTAGAAAATCATCCAATCATGATTTGAAAATTGTCAGTGATGGAGAATCCCCCACAACTCTTGGTAAATTGTTCCAATGGTTAATTACCCTCACTGTCAAAATTTTACACCTTATTTCCAGTCAGAATTTGTCTAGTTTCAACTTCCAGCCACATTCCAGCAGGGGTAAATGAGGTTGCCTTGTCCTTATAAAGTTGAGGGTCTCAGTGTGGTTCTCAAACATTTTATAAATTTGGCTTCCCAGAAGGAAACATTTTAAACAATCCCCATTTTAAAGCTGGGCAAACTGAGGTTGAGAGGCACAGAACAAGGTCACACAGTCCGTCAGAAGCAAACTGTGAACAGAATCCAAAACTACTGACTCTCAGTGTCCTGCTTTAGCCATTGGATTACACTGCCTTTCTAATGCTATCTGAAAGTGCTGGAAACCCTTAGGATGGGATTATCAAAAGCATTGAGAGGTGCATTAAAATGGCCCCAGATGAGATTGGATACCAATTGAATTAACTGGTCAGTGTTAGTAAGGTGCTTAGAAGATCTGCCTGGGGGATATCTTTGAGCATGCTGGTAGCCATATGCACATGGGATCACTGTGTCCACTCTGCAGCTGTCAGTGTGCCTATGCCTTTATCCTTGCATACTGGGCAGGTAGCCATGTTTATGTGAACAATCTGGTGTCTGTGTGCATGGTGAGCCCAATATACACATGCAGTATTTCTGGGAATGTGTGATATCATTTGTACATGGCCTATGTGTGTACACCCAGTGGCTGTGTATTTGAAGTATTCATGTGGACACAGGCTATGTGAATGTGGGATACTGTTGGGTTAGGGTGTGGGTGTGCATATGCAGTATTTGTGAGAAAGTGAGGTACCCATGTGTGCTGTGTGAACCTAGGCTCTCCATGGGCATACATGTGCAAGGAGTGCTTCCTCTGTGGAGCGCTGATGGAGTGTCTGTGTGTATGGGATATCAGCATGGAATGTGTGCATGGGCACAAGGTATGTTTTGTGTGCACATGGTTGTGCGTGTGCAAGTAGGGCACGTTCCATGTGCAGGTGAGTATCCAAGTGCATGCAAATAAGGAAAGGGGACATGTAGGGCATGTGAACGTGGATTACCTATGGGTAGGACCCTGTGTTTTTTGCAAATATGAAATAATATTAAACATAATGTATGCAATGACAAACCCACCCGGAATGGTAGTGCCTGGGTGCTCTTCACCCCACACCAGACCCCCCACCTCCCGCCCGACACGTGGGTAAACAAAGTATCATGGAATCCCCCCGTTCCCAAATAAATGAACTACAGTATTAGGCAGGAGACACAGGGCTCTGCCCACGGGCCGGGAGGGGACAGACATGGAGGGTCATCATACTGTGGGCAGCTGACGTGGCGCGGATCCCGTGATGAGACGGGTACGCGGGATGTGGCGGCTGGAACCTCCCCCCGCAACCTCTGGTGCCACGCACCACCCCTCACGCTGCGGTTGGGGGGCGGGGTAGCGGCTCTGGTCTATGCTTTCCGGCAGGGACAGGAAGCGTTTCCGCCCTGTTTAAAGATGGCGACTACTTTGCCTTCGTTCCCTTCCCTTGATCTGGCAGCGTCACGTGACGCTCTGTGCCCAATAAGCCTTTCTCAGCTGTCAACGCGCCTGCTTGGGCCAGATGGCGCCCGGGCTGGGGATGCTGTGTGGAGTGCGCATGTGTGAACGGAGGGCCGGGCCTGAAGATGGCGGATGATAAGGTGAGAGGGGCGCCGGGAGGGTGGGCTGAGCCATGCCCGGCGCCCGCCTCACAGCCTGGCCCGGCCCGGCCCGGCTCGGCTCGGCTCGGCGGACGCCCCTCGAGCCAGGCAGGAGGCGGTGGTGCCGGTCCCGTCAGCTGGGGGTCGGTGGGAGCCGAGGGCTCGCTGCTGTGACCCGGGCCGGGACCAGCCGCCTGCCCGGCCCCAGCCCTCGCGCGGGCAGCGGGCCTCGCTGCGCCCTTGGCGGGCGCGTCCCCGGCCGCTCTTCCTCCGCTGGGCCCGAGTTCTCCGGGGGGCGGAGAAAGCCCCCGGCTTGGAGAGCCCCGAGCCGCCGCGTCCCCTGCCCCCGCTTCGGCCTGGGCTGCGGACGGCGAGGAAACGTCAGGCCGGGGAGCCATTCCGGCGGCCGGCCCGTGCTGAGCGTGCTCGGTGGCCGGGCTCAGGTGCCCCGGTGGCCGGAACAGCGAAGGCAGTGCTCGGTAACTACGTAACTGTGCCCCCCCAAGCGGTTACCTGAGCCTGCTGCCGCCCATAAATGGGCTAACTCCACTGTTGAGCTACATACTCCGTAGCCTGCCACGGTGCGGCGTTAGCCGCCTCCCTCCAGCTCTCCCAACTCCGTGGCCGTTTCTGGTGCTCGCATTTTGTAATGCGCTTTCCGCACAGTGCCGCGATTGTAGGGACTTCTGGTTTTACGGGTGGCCTGACCTGTAGCGCATACACCCCATGAAGGCATTCCGTAGGTGACACAGATCAAGCCCTACTATCGTTTCTCAAAATTGCACTGCTGGAGGCTTGAAATCGGACTCACTTGTAAATTTCATTATGCATATGACTGTAGAATGTCTGAAGTTGAAAATAACGGGCTTTCGACATAGGTTAAGCCCTTTCAGAATTAAAATGACTGAACTAAACTTCAGTAACCATGGGATATTTTTAGGCAGTCTTAATTCCGTTCTGAACAAGCCTGAGAAGCCTTAGCTTCCTATCTTTAATTTAAAAGATCTATCTAAAATGTGACTTTGTCAACATTAGTGCAGTCTGTTGCATCACTCTAGTCATTTCCTGCTCCCTCCTCAGCATGGCCTAAATGCTGTGCCAGAATAGTAGTTCCCTGAACAAAAGGAATTTGACTCTTTGTCATGAAGTTACTGAATTGCATGTTTGTAAGCAGTATGCAGCATCAAGTTTTTGTTTTTACTGTGTAGGACCCACGGCCAAAGCTGAAGGATCTTGCTTTTTTGAAGTCTCAGTTGGAAAACTTACAGCAGCGAGTGGAAGATGAGGTGCAGGCTGGAGTGGGCCAGGTAAAACTGGAGTTCTTTAACACTTTAGCCCTAGATTAATCTCCCCAGAAGTTGTGCTGTTCTGTGATCTTCCAGTAGAATGAATATATCCTGTTCCACTCAGAGTGCACACTAGTTGTACCTCCAAGGAATGCTTGGTTTTACTTGCTTTTTTCAGCAAAATATTGAGGTTATATTTATTTCTTCTGTGGTGATAACATTACACAAGCTTGGCAACAGCGGTCTAGGGAAATCAGTGGAAGAAGACAATGTGTTCCAACTAAGTTTTATGCATTAGGGTACACTTTTGTCCAAGAAGCTATTTATCCCTTTCTCTCCTTTTTCTCTGCAGGATGGTTCTTTGCTGGCATCTCCGTTTCTCAAAGGGTTTCTGGCAGGTTACATTGTAGCCAAACTCCGATCTTCTGCAGTCCTAGGATTTGTGTTTGGGACCTGCACTGGAATATATGCAGCTCAGGCCTATGCAGTTCCCAATGTTGAAAAGACAATCCGAGACTATGTCAGCTCACTGAGGAAAGGACCAGACTAGAGGAGAATTCTTTGGACAACGGTGTACTCCAGAAACAGCTCTTCTCATCTTAGACATCCTAGTCAACTTTGACATGATCTTAAGGGGCTTTCAGGACTGTAGCTATATATGTCATTCTGGCCCATTGTAAAACATGTTTAATATCAGATCAGTGTGAAATATCAGCAGGTCTGATTACAAAAATTATTAATCAGAATACCCTGAAGGTAGCAATCGCGCGTTCAGCTGTCCAGTGCTTGCGAGCTTCAAAATCTGGATGTTGACAACTGCCTTTCTCACTGTAATTTCTTACCCTGCATTCCCCCCAAGTAGACTGGAAGGGCGGCTGTGTCAGATCATCTCTCACGCTATTTTTACACCCCTTCACATATCTATTCCCTTGCCCAGGAAATGTGCTTTGTCTGATTTCTAGGGAGACCTCCATTTCTTTCCCTGATGAAGAGCAAACATGTTCCTCTCCTTGCATTGAGCATGTAATGAATAGTTCAGTGTCTTCCTAATTAGACTGTCCTTAAATATATGGCATTTGTTGTCGCTCTCTTTCTCTCCAAGGAGGTGACTTGATTTTTAGAAACACATCTACATCCTGGAATGATCTTGCCTCTATTGAGACTCTGACTGTGAAAGGACCAGGTGCTACCCTTTCCCCTTTGCTGGTATCCACTGCCTCATGGGAATAATTACTGCGAATGGTAGTGCTGCTGGCTCACTGCTCAGCCCTGCCACCAGGGGGCTCAAGAGAGTGCTGTGGGCACTGATGCTAGTCATGTCTGTTACTGTCTATGGCTCTCATGCTCCCCTCCTGACTCTGTGTAAAGTGGATGGAAAGATCCCATTCAGTGCCTCATCTGTTGTGGTTCTTACTGAGCTGACCAAGCTGGTGCTCTCCTTCATTTCCCTGCTGATCTGGGACTGGAGGCAGCTGGGAGTCTCACTGTCATGGCGCCATGCTGCCCCCTTTGCCCTATCTGCGCTGCTCTATGCTGCCAACAATAACCTGGTGGTTCACATGCAGCTGTTCATGGATCCTAGCACCTACCAGGTCCTGAGTAACCTGAAGATTGGCAGTACTGCTCTCCTGTACAGCATGTTCCTGCACCAAAGACTCTCTCTACACAAGTGGCTGGCCCTCTTCCTGCTAACAGCTGCTGGGGTGAGCTACACCTATGGGGGCCTCCAGGACCTGCAGCACTCCTCCAGCTCCTCTGAGATGCAGCTGCACCTCACCCTGATTGGCTTGCTGCTCATCTCTGTGTACTCCCTGATATCAGGCCTGTCTGCTGTCTATACCGAAGTCATCCTGAAAACCCAAGATCTGCCACTTACCCTCCAGAACCTGTTTCTTTACTTCTTTGGAGTCCTGCTGAACTTGATTGCCCATCTCTTGAGCAGCAATGGGGCTGGATTCCTGGATGGCTTCTCTTTATGGGTGCTGGTAATTGTGGTGAGCCAGGCCCTGAATGGCTTGATAATGTCTGTTGTCATGAAGCACAGCAGTAACATCACCAGGCTCTTTGTTATCTCCTGCTCCATGCTTGTTAACGCCCTCCTATCTATCCTGCTCTTCAGCCTGCAGCTCACTGCCTTTTTCTTCCTTGCTGTCCTGCTGATCGGCTTGGCTGTTCACTTGTATTATGGAGTCAAATAGACTCCACCTTGCAGCTCTGTGGGAGACATCTGGTATTGAAGCTATAGCTGGCATGTTCTGGGCTATTATGTGGGAGTGGCAACGGCTTGTTCGTTTTTTTTTTTTGTCTCATTTTTATGTAACAAATGCATTAGTCTGGCCTGGCTGCACTCTTAGAGGGCAGATTCCCTTCAGAACCCATCACCTGAGGTCAGGGACAAGCATGTGTGAGGCAGTAGGGCTGCAGCTGAAAGCTACTGGCTATCACAAGCAGACCTTGCCTGTAGCTAGCATGTGCACTGTGAGGAATTGCACTATTTGTTGTGCAGCACGAAGAAGCAGGAGGGGATCTGTCCCCACGGAAGGGGACATGTTCATTGCATGGGCTCAGTATTCTGCATACAGGGACTCTGTCCCGCAAGGCACTGACTCAGCAGCCGCCATTGGTGTCTGCAGGATCAGGCCCAGGCCCAATGTATCCCTTTTAGGGGAAGGGCGAGAGGGCTTCCTGGTGAAGACTAAGCCAGTGACAGTCACAGCAGTTTAATGGGGTCCTCTGTGACCATCTCCCCTTTTGCCTGAGCTCCCGTCCTAAGGCCCTTTCTTGGAGGGCTTTGAGGGACTCTCTTTACATCTGAGCAGCACCTATTCCAGCTCATTCAAGGACCACTTGTGTGATGTGAGCTGCTCCCTTCTCTGGCCATGCCTTGTGCCTCCACAATGCTCTGAGCTCTGATCCAGCCATTACAGATTCAAAGTGCCTTTTGGAAGGGGATAGTCCCGGTTTTGTGCACATCCTCTGCGGTGAGCTGCACACTGGCTCCAAGGCAGAGCCTTGTTCTCATGCAGCACTTGGCAAATGTATTTTCCAGATCCCTTCCTACCTGCTGCTCTCATCTCTGTAACAAAGCACCAAAGAGCCGGCAACTCTTCTGTCAGTGTAAACGATACATGTAACTGTCTCCCTGGAAAGTTCCAGTGACATGACCAGCTGCTGTTCAGCTGGGGGCCTGTGTGTACATGGTTATCACTCACACTCCTTGCACACGCACACTGGTGCATGCGCTTCTCCAAATCTGGCTCTTAGCCTGTAGTAGACTCCTGGATCCAGATCCTCAAAGGCACCTAACGCCTACTGATTCCAGTGGGAGCTAGGTGCCTAAATACCTTTGCAGAGCTTAGCCCTGATCACCTGGGCTTCAGCTGGAACCCATCTGGTGAATCTGTCACTAGCATCAGCCCATTTCCAAGGTACCCAATGCCTACAGCTGACTCCTGCTTGCCCTTTGGATTGAAGCATAGATCTGTATCTTCAGTATGAAAGCAGCTACTGTTGAGTGTTAGCTGAGCTGTCAACTATGATGTGCTGCAGGAGCTGGGGTGGTGGCTTGAAGCCAGAGGAGTTTCCTGTTGATTGGGAGAGAGGAAAAGAAACTTCCAAATAAAATGGTTGGAATCATTAAGATGCCCAGAATTGAAGGCAGGGGTGATTGCAGTGCTGGGGCAGGAGCTGGTTTGGCAGCCCTGCAGACTGACCCTTCTGTCTAGACACAAAACAGATGCAGGCCTGGCAGTCCCAGCTTCCCGCACACATGCCAGTGGCCCACCTTGAGGGACCCCATCTCTGTTCAGTCTCCATGGTCCAGTCTGTTTTTTGGGGGCTGCTCAGGCAGGCAGCGGGGCTGCCAGTTGTCAGTCAGGTGGTGGAGACCTGCCCCCTTGAAAATTGTCCTTGCCAAGCCCTGGATTTCTCCATAAATGACTGAACCCTTTACAAGCAACTGACTGGGTGGGAGGAAGGCAGCTCCCTGCTGTAGGAGCCTGAGCAGTCAGCTTGGCAGGGGAGAGCTTTCTGCTCTGCCATTCCCTGTACCCAACCTCATCAGGGGTCTGCATGTACTGGGCGAGGGGTTCAGCTGTTTCCAGAGTAGGATGTCTGAACAGGGGCTAATACTTCCTCCCTAGCCTAGAAATGTAGTAAAAGCGCACTCTGAGAGGCAGGGCTGGAGCTTTGGGCTGACCCATGTGGTCTTGCACTGCCTTCCCCGTACACCTTTCCACTGACCATGCTGTCTCCTCCAATGCACCTGCCCGTTAACCTGTAGAAGCCACCACATGCAGCTGCTGCCTCCTGGGACAGAGGTCTGACTACATTCCACACTCCTGCCAGCTCCAACTCGGGCTGCCCTGGAGTGTTGTACTTCCCAGTATGCTGTTGGGCAGATCCTGTGCTGTACAGCCCAAACTCCCTACCTCAGGGAAGCTGTACCTCATCTCATGAATTGAATTGCCCATTTCCCACTGTGCCAGTCCCAGGCTTGCAGTTCCAGGCTGGGGCAGGGCAGGGGGCAGCCATTCCTGCTACAGGCCTCTGATCCCACTTGACCTGGAGTCCCCATGGGAACAGTGCAGCTGCATGGGACTATTGCCCTGCTTCTCAGCTGATGCCTGCAGCAGTGCACGTTTCTGAGAGTGAATATTTAGTCTGTATAAATGTTGGGTTTGTATCTGGATTTGTACTACCTTAGGTTTGACAAGGTTCAATTCCTGTCACCCCCAGTGCGCCAGACAGCAACGCCTACCCTGGCGCTGGCTGTGGTATTAAAACCTGCACTTTCCTATTCCTTGTGACTGTCTTGTTCCTATCTGCTTGCTGACATGGAGACTGGTCAGACCAAGCAGGCGAATGCCCAGCCCCCAGTCTGACCTCATTTTAATATGGGTGTCTCTCGATTGGAGCGAAGGGCCCCCTCTTCAGTGGAGCGCAGCATCCTATTGGAACGTGTGAATACACTGTTTATTGAGAATCTCATTGGCTTATTTCAGCTGGCAGCAGCCTGAGGGAATGAGAAACCTGCCCTGGGTTCCTGGTCCAGTTGTCTCATGCAGTTCATTTCCCACAGTATTTCAGCAGTGCCACAGAAGCACCATTCTCCAGACTGCTGACAGCCCCTGGAAAGAGGCACGGGGGCTTTGTTCAGCCTTTCCCCTGTGGTGCGGAGCTAACCCTTGCTCTGGACAGCTTAGCAGAACCCTGTTGGGTCCACTGACAGTGACTACCCATGGAACTACTCCCAAATGCCTGTGTCTGCCTGCTCGTGCTCTTACTGGGGTCCCCTGCAGTACGCACAGCGAGCTCTGCATGTCTCTCCCTCGTTGGCTGAATCCAATGGGGGAATAAACCATTGAGGAAAAACAAGCCACCCATATGTTTGCTAGGCATCCTGCCCCATGGGTAAAGCACTTTATCCCTTTCCGGGGAGAGGGGAGAAGGCCCCACTTGCTGTTGGCACCATAGGTGCAGGATGCATATGGAAGGTGCAGTAAGTCCTCCTGCTGTGGGAAGGGGCTGAGCTTAAGGTACTGTCTGTATAGGCTGTGATCAGGTTGCCCATCCCCCTGGCATGAGCTGGGGGATTCATTTACACTGCAGTTAAATGCTGTACTGTGGCTGGGACCTAACTGGGGCAGAGCCCTGGAATGGCCGAGGCTTCAACCCACTTAGCTGCTGCCTACGCGGCAGCCTTACCCCAGGCTGTAACGGGGGCTCCTGCCTGGGGGTCAGTCCAGGGCAGCAGTGAAGGGCTTGGCTGTGGTGGACACTCAGGCTAGGCCTGTTCCAGTGCACCAGGTGCATCTTTTGCAGCATCTTAAATGAACAGGGTGTATGGCTGCTCTCAAGGCCTAGGCCAGGTGGGCTGCACGTGCGTCAAGATCAGCAAGGGTAAGGGGGCTAGTTCTCACACATGGGGGTAGGGGTGGTTGAGGCTCTAAGAGGGAGTGTGGCCTAAATGGTCTACTTTGAGAGCCTTCACCTAGTCCCTTAGCTCCAGATTGGGACACTTCCTGGAGTGGCAGGATGTGTGGTAGTGCCAGGGCCTCTGATGAAAGGCTGTGGGAGCCGGCGCCTTAACAGCCCTGCATGTCAGCCCCTCCCTCAGATGCCTAACACCTGGTCCCATGGGGGTGTATTGGCCTCTGCTGCAGGGAGACATTCCTTAGGTCCGGAGGAACTGCGGCTGGACTCTGAACACTGCACTGTGTGCCTTAACAGCTCCTGACAGCCCTTGGGCTGGAGCCAGAGCCAGGTTCCTTGCTGACGTGTGCAGCTGCTTTTGCTGCTGTGAGTGATTTCTGGGCATGTGAAGCTGGACCTCAGTGGGTATCTCACCCCTAGCAGTTGGGAGCAGCTGCCCGAGTACTGCACTGGGCTCCAAGCCCCTGTTACGCCTTGCCCCATTGCTGTGGAAAAGAGCTGGGAACAGGGTCACAGTGCACTTCCCACTGAGGGCCTAGAAGCTGATGGAAGTTGTAGCTTTAAAGCTACGTTTGCTGACGCTCTGCTCTCTCCCAGCCCGGTCAGGGAGAGGGGAAGGTGCTGTATTGAGCTAGCAATGTGCTCACACGTTGCCTGCTCAGTCCCCCATAACTTCCCAGGGCCAGTCTGCCATTGCACACAGGCAGTTCCCCAATGCAGCAGATGCAGGTAAAGAGCTTCCCAGCTACTCAGAGACCTGCTAAAACACCAGAATACCTGCCTGGCGCTGTAAGAAAGGCTGGCCCTGAGGTTACCCATGCTGCATCTCCTCCCTGGAATGATTGACAGGCATCACCCCCCCACACACACACACACCCTCCAGTGTTCACTCCCCCAGGGGTGGGGGCAGAGCGCTCTGGCTCAGCACAGCTCACTGCTCAGGAGTGTGGGTCTGTCTGTGAGGCGTGCTCAGTGCAGCCCAGCTGCCTGTGTGTGCGGAGCTGCTGATTCTGCGCAGACAGGGAGATGGCATCCTGGAGGGCCTCCTGTAGCAGCTTCCGGTACCGTCGATCCAGCGCATCAGTCTGCTCCTCTGAGAGGCCCCGATAGGCCCGAAATACCTGCAGAGAGCAGTCAATCCCTTTACGATACAGTGCCCCAGCCCTGCCTCTCAACCAGGAACCAGGAAAGGGGAACAAGTGAGCTGTGCCAGGTCAGAGCTGTGGCTTATGTGGGGTTGGGGGCAGGATCTGGGGTTGCAAACCTCTTCCTGTTCCCATTCAGAGTAGCATTCAGTAGCCCAGTGTGTGGGTGTCACGATGGCTCAGCCAGGGCAGGGGACTAACCCAACTGGGCAGGGCAGAGAGTTTCTCCTGCTCCTCAGGGCAGGCTCAGTGAGTGGGGGAGGCTTTCTTTGTGCCCTTCCCTGTCGCTTTTGTGCTGTAGGGAGCAGCACTCAGGGGGAAGATGCCACCCTTCTTCAGAAGAGCAAGTGTCACAGTAAACACCCCCTGCATGGCAGCACTGCCAGCCGCCTTATCCTGCTCGGGCCCTGTGGCTTCTCTCTTTCTGCCCATCTTGCTCTCACAGAGCTGTAAGCTGGGGAATTTATTAGCAATGACAGCTCCTCAAAGCATGAACGCTGGCTCCTGAGTCTCCTGTGGGTAAGGCCTGCAGACTCCTAGCTAACTTATCGGCTTCCTCAGCGGGCTGCAAGAGGCTGTCAAGATACATCCCAGGGCCATGCAAGATCGCCCTGTGGAGAGGGAACGCAGTGCTGTGGGGGTAAAGGAGCTAACAGCCTGATGTCCATTGCTCCCATCCCCCCTGCCTCAACCCTGACTATGAGGGGCTGCTCGGTGGAGCTCCATCACCCCATAGCCCTGGGTGTGCTCTGCTGAGCCTGCCAACAAAGGGGACAGCTGGTGCCAACTGATTCTGTGATGGGAACGTCTGTCCATTGGGAAATAGGCCAACCAACTCATTGTTCATGGAGCCCTAAACAGCCAGTGGGGTGACTGGCTTCCACTGGGCTGTCCTGGGCCATGCCCTGATCCCTCCCCAACCCCTTTAGTATCTGGACACAGAGAACGGCAGCTTAGCGCCTGGTGACCTGTAGCACATGTTGTTTCTGAGCCTCCACTTCCAGTCTGTGCTGCTGGTACAGCGCCTCCAGGTCCTTCTCTGCCTCGGCCCATTCCCTCTGCAGTGCTTCCAGCTGCAGGGCCAGCACCGCCTTCTCCTTGGGCCAGCACCGTGCGTCCCGCTGGGCAGGAGGGAGCTGGGAGTGAAAGCTTTCAGGCAGGCTGTGGGAAGTCACCCTTGTCCCAGCAGAAGGGATGGGGGCCCTGCCCAAACCATGAGGCTCAGTCTGAGCTGGCTTTGCTAGCTGGGCTCACACAGAGGGCTAAGAAGGGGTTGTCCTGCTCCCTGACCGTCCGTCTCAGCATGCATAGCACCGCGCTGGACCTCTCCTCACAGAGCAGCCATGGGGAATGCTCCTTCCCTGACATGCTTCTGCTCTGGTATCTTTCTGAGTCTTGTCCTGCCCCCCAGGAGTCACTGTTGCCATCCAGTTTGAACTGGGCCTGAGGGAGCAGGACCGGAAGGGTCTGGGCAGCTATAAACTAGCTCAGCAGCTCACCTGGACGAGCACAGCCTTTTGGCTGCCTATTGGGACGGGATGGTCCAAACCTCAAGGGCAGTCCCCCCGTTCCCTCCCACCTACTCCCCCCCATCCAATTCCATCCTTCCCGGAAGCACAGCAAGGTCCCCTTTGCCCAGTCTGCCCTCTCCAGTGACTCATCCCATCTGCTTGTTACCCCCATGCCTAAAGCCCCCATTTGCTCCCAGTACCAAAGGCCCAGCCATCCTGCAGGTGCCTTTTTCCTGCCTCAGGGGCAAGGAGCCTGTGGGTTTTGTCTCATGGTTTCCTTGTCTCAGAGCTGGCAGGAGGTTGCCCCCAAAGATGCCTCTAGAGCTGGGGGCATGAGCAAGGGCCAGGACCATACCTGGGGTCGCTGCCACCACAGCCTCTCAGATAGGGGTTGATTTGCAGTGGGAGAACCCATATAAGATACTGCAGATTGGGGCAGCATTACCTTACCCCAGGGATCCCTGTCCTTTCTGCAGTAACCAGCTCCTGGCGGGCAGAGCCTCCCTGTGCCTGCAGCCTTGGAGTGTGGCCCCTGATGTCACTACAAAGTGCCCATTTTCCTCACTCTGCTCCAGTGTTGGCTGGCTGCAGCTCTATGCCTTGCTATGGACAACTGTCCTCAGCTTGCCATCTGGGACCATTGCTCTTGGGCCCCTTTATTGCCTCATCACCCTGTGTTCTGCTCAGCCCCAGGTCCCCGGTGACGGTCCATTCCCCACTCACCTGCTGGTTCCCTGCTAGCTCCTCCTCCAGTTTCAGCAGTTCCTGCTTGATGAGCCGCTGGTGCTGCTCCCGCAGACGCTGCCTCCTGGCCTTGGCCACAGCAAACTGCAGCTCCAGGGCCGGGTGCTGCTGAGAGGCCCAGCTCCCCACCTGGCAGAGAGCAGACATGAAAAGGCACCCAGGAAGTGACTCTCCTATGTAGGCCATTCCCAGCCGCAGTGCTGGGGTGCAGAGAGGAAGCCGGGCAGGCAGCCTGGGGTCCCTCTGCATTGGCATTTGCATGCTTGGGAGCACTGCGGGGTTGCACCGAGTGTTGTGCTGGAGGGGCCTTGTCCTAACACCATAGAGAGGCAAAGTGGGGAAGAAAGAGGGGTGGGGACGAGCCTCCCTGTCCTCCCCAATGAAATGCCCTGGGGGTTTCCTGAATGGGTGACAGGGCGGAGACAGAGTGGGTGCAGGGTGGCTGAGGGAGGGCAGAGGGTTGCAGTATAGGGTACAGGGCCGCTATGGTCCTCTTCACCTCCTGCACATGTGCAGCATGGAGTGGGCCATGCATAGCACAGGGCAGACACAATGTGGGATGGATGCAGCACAGACAGGACACTCTGAGCCCTTTATACGTCTCCAAGGCACACCCCCAGGAGCTCGCACCATCACTAGCCTGGGCCGAGGCAGGAAGCTCAGCTGGGCTCAGGGCAGAGGAACAAGCTGTGACTCACCAGCTTTCACCCTGACCCCATCCCCTCCTGTGACTGGCCAGTCAGTCCCCTCTGTTCTCCGGTCATGGAGCAGAGATTTCCCAAGGCTTCTCCACCCAGCTCCAGCTCTCAGCCTCCCTGTAGTAGCCTCCCTGTAATAGCTTGTAGGAGGGCTGCAGCCCAATTGCTTTCAGCAGGAGGGGCTGTAGGGACCAGGATAACTAGTGGGGGAAAGGCTCTCAGAATTACTGCAATCCCTGCCTCTCCCAGCAGGAGGTGTAAGAGCACTGGCTCTGCATGTAGCTTCTCCCAGCTGGAGTGGCTGTGGGACACAATGAGAGTGGGGCCCACCTGGAGATCACAGTGTCCCAGCCCAGTATGGTAGTGCCAGCTGGGCAGGAGATGCAGTGCATTGAGAGCCCTTGTGGCAGCAGCGGCTGGACTATATGAAATGTAGTGAGAACAGCTCCCTTGGAAAGGTCAATCCAAGCAGAACAGCAGGGGGTCAGTTCCTTTCCAAGTCGGACAGAGAACAGTCAGCAATTATGTGCCCAGCTGGGGCTCCTGGCAGTCTGGCTGAGGGCTGAGCAGGGAGCCAGAATGGCTAGGCCTGCAGCCTGGATAGGCTCCAGCTCATTAGAACTACACAGTATTGGGGCTTTTGGATGATGCATGAACCCTGTGGCGGGAGTCCTTGTGTTGGGGCCTAATCTTGCTTGGGTAATTAAACACCACCTTCCTGAAATCTCCAGACATTTCCTTTGGCTACGTTGGTCCTTTTCACTTTGCAGGGCCTGAGTCTCCTCTCATATAGAATGGGGTAAGTCAAAAGTAACACCATGGAAATCAGCAGTCCAACACTGGGGTAAGTGAGAGTAAAACTGAACCCCTTGTGTCTAAATTGTTGTGTAGTGTTGCTGTGTGCAGATAGACAGCTGCCACATTACACCCCAGAGGTGACTTCATTACAACAATGGTATATGTATTGTTTGTGAAGCGCTTCGAGTTCCTGATGGATGAAATCCAGTCTATAACAGTGGGGCTTATATCAGTCAGGAAGAAGAATGGCTCCAGATAAACCATTTTCCCACAAACACTTGTGGGCTGTGAAGAGACAATGGCAGGATGGGAAAAGGCATTGGAGACAGAAGATCTAAAGGACTGTAGGCCCCCGCTCCCCCTCGCTCAAGAGAGGGGATGGCTGTAGGGGAGCTGTTTAGGGGGCCAGACTGACACCCAGGACCCACACAGGAATTCAGCTTGTCCAGTGATCATTGGGATGGGAGGGCTTTTGGTGAGAGATGTGTACAGGCTGCCTGTCATTTTAAAAACTTTTTTCTCTAAACGCTTTGTTCCTCCTATTAAAATCAATAATGTTAAAATCAATAAAACATGATCCCCATGTGCCCCTGGCCACAGCCTCCTGGAGGGAAGAACTGCAGGTGCCTGAACCCCATTGGACCTGCAGGGTAAGTACAGTTGTTACACAGGCTGCTCTAGCCCAGGGCCTACCCTGAGAGCAGAATTGCAGGATCCCACCCCAGGAGAGGGGAAGGCCCAAGAGGGAGATGCAGCCAGCCCTGTGACCATGATGTAAGTCAAATCTGTGCAGACAGGGAGATCTTCTATTGCAGGCTGCCCTGCAGTGTCCGTGGGCCTCTCTCCTAGCCCCAGCACATCGCACTCACCGCGCCGGTCACACTAGCAGTGCAGGTTGGTTCCTGTGTTCTGCTGGCTCCACTTTGCAAAGGCTTCTCCCCTGTCACTGCACCCATGCTCGGGGAGATTCGGCCAAACCACTCAGGGCTACTTGTGGCAGCTTCGCCTCCTTTGTCATTACAGAGGGGAACAAACCCTGCAGGAAAAGAGGGAGGGGGATCTGCAGGGGAGGGGATGCTGTGGAAAAAGAAGCAGAACCCCCAACACAGCCACACAAGCCCCTCTCCCAGCCCCACTTCCTCCCCTAAGGAGGCCCAGACCCGGAAGTTTCTCCACTGTGGGTCCCCTTTACAGCAAGCTGGGCTGCACCCAGTCTTGCCGGTGCCCTCTCAGTTGGTGTGGGGTGAGGCTGGCCTCTGAGGAGGGGCCATTCTCTGGGTATTTAACAAGTTATCTGAGCCCTCAGATCATGTTAGCAGCCAGTGCACTCCCAGGGCTAGGCAAGGACAGACCCACACCTGGGACATCTCCATCTGGCTTGAGGTTACCTCTGTCCAGGAACTCTTGGCTTCTCAACATATCTGTCAGCACCTGGTTTGTAAGCTGTTCATCCCTGCCCAGCCACAATGGGATTCGACCCTGTCATGTGGGACACATCAGGCAGGGCCCTGTTAAAGCTAAATGGGGCCAGGATCCATTGTAACATTGGGGATCTCTGACAGAGCAGCCCCTCACCTGCCACCTGCCGCCTGTCCACACAGCCTCTGCTTCCCAGCCCCCCTCCTCAGTGCCCCCCAGCGATGAAGCACAGCCATCACAAGCTCATCACAGCCAGCAGCTGGCCAGCTATGCAGGGCCCCAGCTGCCCAACCTCTGACTCAGTGTGAGCTTCCCCTGACTTTGTGGCCCAGATTCTGAAGATGGTGCATAAAATGCTGGGATGAGACCGAGAGCTGTCCCCGCAGAGAGCTGCCCGGTTACTCTACAAGCTAGCTCTCTGCTTGGCTTGGGGATGGGTTCTGACTTTATCTGTATCACTTATGCCTGCTCCTATGACTCTGCTGCTAGGGGAAGGGGACGTTCCTTGCCCTATCATGTCCCTGTGCCACTGCTCTGCACCTGGAGGGCAGCAATCAGCAGCTGGAATCCCGGATTCACCTGGGCTTCAGGATGACGGCTCCCACTTCCTTCAAAAGCCTCTGACGTCTCTTTCTTTTTCTCCCAGCTCTGGTTCTTCAGCACCTGGAAAACAGGCCCAGGAGACCTCATTGTGCTGTGTGTAACCACCACAGGGACCATGCTGTCCATGGGGTGCAACAAGCCAAGTCCTAGGTGAGGCCACCATCCACAGTGCCTCCAGCGTCTGCTGCCTGCACAGCTCTGGAGATCCTAACCCCCTCCAGGCGACAAACTCTCCCCAGTCTCTGGCTAACTCCTGCTGCCCTCTTGGCCATGAGGAGAAACAAGAGACACCTGGGGATGCTTACACTCAGGTTTACAAGACAAGAGGTTTATTTCTGTTCAGACTTAGGCCCAGAGTGTTACAGCCACGTAACCCATGCCCACCCATCTGCATACATACAGCCACGTGGCGTACACACATAGCTAGGCATACACTGTGCTACCAGCAGAATGGTGCATCTACTTATGCTGCATCCACCCCTAGAACCTAGTAACCTAGACAGCCCAGAGTCCCACACCACTGGCCTGGCACATGGCTCTCTTCCCAGAAGGTAGATCAGAACATTATTATGTTGCTGTCTGGATGGGTGATCTTCCTCCATTCCAGAATGCACTGCGTGCTGCTGCCCCTGCTGAAGCACTGTGGGACAGCTGCCCAGATTTTCCCTGAATGCACTAGTACAAGCAGGGGCAGTAGCTGAGGATAATAGAATCATAGAATCGTAGGACTGGAAGGGACCTCGGGAGATCGTCTAGTCCAGTCCCCTGCACACATGGCAGGACTAAGGATTATCTAGACCATCCCTGACAGGTGTTTAACCTGCTCTTAAAAACCTCCAGAGATTCCACAACTTCCCTAGGCAATTTATTCCAGTGCTTAACCACCCTGATAGTTAGGAAGTTTTTCCTAATATCCAACCTAAACCTCCCTTGCTTCTTTATTTTAAGCCCATTGCTTCTTGTCCTATCCTCAGAGGTTAAGGAGAACAATTGTTCTCCCTCCTTGTAACAACCTTTTATGTACTGGAAAACTGTTATCATGTCCTCTCTCAGTCGTCTCTTTTCCAGACTAAACAAACCCAATTTTTTCAATCTTCCCTCATAGGTCATGTTTTCTGGACATTTTATCATTTTTATTGCTCTCCAATTTGTCCACATCTTTCCTGAAATGTGGTATTCAGAACTGGACACAATACTCCAGTTGGGGCCTAATCAGCACGGAGTAGAGCAGAAGAAATACTTCCCCTGTCATGCTTACATCACTCCTGCTAATACAGCCCAGAATGATGTTCACTTTTTTTGCAACAGTGTTACACTGTTGACTCATATTTAGCTTGTGATCCACTATGACCCCCAGATCCCTTTCCGCAGTACTCCTTCCTAGGCAGTCATTTCCCATTTTGTGCGTGCAGCCGATTGTTCCTTCCTAAGTGGAGTACTTTGCATTTGTCCGTATTGAATTTCATCCTATTTACTTCAGACCATTTCTCCAGTTTGTCCAGATCATTTTGAATTTTAATCCTATCCTCCAAAGCACTTAAAACCCCTCCCAGCTTGGTATCGTCCACAAACTTTTAAAGTGTACTCGCTATGCCATTATCTAAATCACTGGCTGAGACACGGTTGTGTTGTGAAGAATGGTGCACAGCTCTGGCTAGCCAGCTCGGGCACGAGTGTCCCAGCTGTGTACAGCTAGATGTGCAGTGCATCTGCTTCTCCCACCTGCAGGTCCCTCAGCACTCTCCTCAGCTGGCTGATCACACGCTCCTGCACTGTTCGGCTGCTGCTGGAGAGGAGCTGGGCCCTCAGCTCTCGGATCTCTGCCCTCTGCCTCCAAACTGCTTTGGCAGGATCCCAGTGGGTTGGTGAGACCTTCTTGGCCAGTCCCCTCACCTGCTCAGCCAGCGAAAGGGCTGACAGGATCTCTTCTCCAGAGGCATCTACAAGACCAGAGAGCATTCAGCCACAAGGGCTGCTGGAGCAAGAGTCAATGTCATACACTTAGAGACTAGAGGGAGCAGAGGCCAGGGAGGCAGGAAAGAGGGCAGTGGGAGGATGGGGGGAGGAGAATTTGCTGAAATAATCAGTCCAGTTAGCCATGCCTGAGGGCTGAATTACAGCAGCAATGCCTGCAGATCAACATGAAGTAACTCTGCCCAGGCTGGCCATGCAGGGACTGGAGGCAACAGCAGGTGCGAGCTCTGGGCAGTCTTTCAGACACTGGTTCTCAGCTAACAAGCTGGCACCATGCTCTGAGCAGCAGGGAGCCTTCCTGCCCTCCCAGTGGGAATGTCAGACCATGGCCAACTTCTGGGGAAAAGATTGGAGAGATCACAGGCCAAGGACTGGGGAATCTATCTGGGATCACCAAGAAATGGGGCCCAGGGACCAACACGGGACAGGACTCTCAGATGTTGGGGGAGGGGGCTCTGTGGTTGCTGCATGTGAATGCAAAAGCTCCCCTCACTCAGGACCCGGCATGACAGCACATCAGGTGCACCCGGGATGGCAGAGATGAGCTGCCGCGGCACAGACAGGTGCCTGGCGAGCAGACCGATGGGAAGCCCTGAAACAAACTCTCTGCCTTTACTTTGCAGAGCATCTTTCACCCTCACTGCCTGGATGGTCTCTGCAGCTACTACATTACAGTGAAAGGGGGACAGCCACTGGGGGGCAGTGCTTCTGTCCTGCCAAGGGCTGAGATGAGCACAGAGCTGCAGGGAGTCTGCTGCAGGGGAGAAGGCTCTCGCACCTGCAGGGGTGGGGCTGCACGATGGGGCCCCCAAAGCCAGAGCTAGATGAGTGCAGGAATGGCAGTGCAGAGACACAGGGAGGCCTGTGGAGGGAGGGAGAAAGGAAGCAACCATTACCCAGGCAAACCCCTGGGCATCTTTCAGTGCATGGCAGAGTCAGACGAACACATTGGCCTTTGGAGCTGCTGGCACTAATCCCCTCCACTCAGAGCAGCCCTGGGGCCAGCAGTTAGCCCCACCCCATGCTGCGCAGCACTAGGTGGTAACCCCCTCTGTCCAGAGCAGTGCAAGGGGACAGGGAACGTTAATCCCATGCCCTTCTCTCCTTTCCTGACTGGTCCCTAGCTGTAGGATCACAGAACAGGCCAGCATGGCTCCTTCCTGCTCCACCCAGAGTCAGGTGCTCGCTGTAAATCTGCTGCCTCTGGACTGGGCTGTAACCCCAGGTGCAGGCATGTCCTGGCTGTGCCCTCAGGGAGTCTGGCCAGCAGATGGGGCGATTCTGCTAACTGAGCATGGGTGTTCCAGGATCTGCCCAGCAGGGGGCAGACTCAGCACCAGGGCATGGACCCCAGACACCAACCCCTGCCCTGGGGCGGAGTGGGTGTGTTGGGCAGTAATGGGGCAAGTACCTGGCAGGGTCAAACACAGCAGCAGGAACGTGAGGTTGTTTCCTTCTAGTGTCTGCTTGAGAATCCAGGGGAGGAATCCTGCATCGTCTGGGAGCTCACCAGGAGCCAGAGCTCGGAGCAGGGGTGAGAAACTGCAGAGACACAGGACACTGGGTGTGAGAGCCCCACAGGGGGGAGGGCACAGAGACATAACAGCACACCATTATAATCATTATTATTATTAATTAATGTGGGACTCAAAGTATAAGGCCAAGGGCCCAGCACATAGGCGCCCAGGCTGGGTGAGGCTGGGCTATCTCCAGTGCTAGGTGCTGCTGAGGAAAGGTGGGTGAAACTCTTGGCTGTTTGGGCACCATGGCTTGTGAGGGAATCCCTTCCTGCCCCCAGCTAGTGACCAGGCAGGCTCTGTACAGCACTTGGCACAATGAGGCCCTGATCCTGGCCAGGGCTTTTGAGTGCTATGGCTATGCATATAAATAATAGCGAAGCAGGGGGACTGTGAGCCCTGGCTGCCATTGCTGCTGCTGCTCATATACCAACCTTAGCCTCTTTTCAAACATATGGAACTATTGGCCTCATTATCCTGCAGCAGTGAGTACTGCAGGACCCCATTGACCATGGACAAGCCATGGGCTGATGCCCTGGAGAAGCAACTTGGAGCTGCATGTCATTTCCCCACCACCACCCCATACGTACGGCTCCACACAGGGCCCAGCCCCTCGGGGGAACTCCAAAATCCTGACAGCCGAGCGTTGGCACCTGCAGCCCTCCAGCGCCTGCTCCACAGTGAGGGTGAACAGGCTGGCGCACCTGGGGAAGGCAGGAGGGTGAGGGCATATGTGGGGGGCAGCTGCTCACCTTCCCAGGAACCAGGGGGCAACAGGCTGTGACAAGCGGAAGGGCCCCTTCCTTGGCACGCTCCCTGGGTGACAGGTTGTGGCTAAGCTGCTCACGCAGCAGGACATAGCTGAGTCAGTCCTGCTGCTGTGATGGCAATTGAGCAAGTTACCACAATTTCACCTCTAGGTACACGCCTTGGGAGCTCGGCATGAAGACACCGTGGCTTGTGGTTGCTTCCGATGGAGATACCTTGGAGTTTCTCTGTCCAGGGGGGTGCAGGATATACTGCCTCAGGGCTGAATCCAGCTCCCAGGGGCCAGAGGGCCAGTGCTCAGTTCTTGCCAGCAGCTTCTCTACCTTCTCCCCTCCTGGGCTTTGGGAAAGCCCCTTTGGTCCCATTTCCAGTCCCCTTCTTCTGCACGCACAGCCCTTCAAGCCCTGGCTGGGGAGCCCTCAGGATCTGGCCCTGAGCTCTCTGAGATGGCAGCCAGCCAACCCACTGTGCTCTGGGAGTTCACCCAGCTAAGCAGGGCCAGGTCTGCTTGGGAAGTGGATAGGAGATGGCCAAGGAACATGCAGGGTCCCTTACAGAAGATGTGCAGTAGCAGTCCTAGGGCCACCCCCCCAACCACTACACACACCCCAGGGTGCCCTCCCCTTGCCCTAATCCTTACGTGTCTGCATGCCGCTCCCCCTGGGATTGCTGCGAATACCCTTGGGACAGTGCTGGACTGTTCTCCAGCCCCCTCACATAGAAGTTGTAGGCAGCTGTAGAGTTGGACACAACAATTTCACTTGTCTCTTCCACCATCCTAGAAGCAGAGAGCCAGGAGTAAGAGGCTCTGGGGGAAAGAGCACAGGGAGGGAACCAGCACGAGCCCCCCATGGGGCAGAGCAACCAAACCCTCTGGATCTCTTCCCCTGTCCCCCTCCTACTTTGGCCCTTTCTCCGGAGGGACTAGCTCTGTCACCTCCCATTGCAGCAGAGCCTGGCTCCATTCTAGCCCAACCCCAGCCCACAGGATCAGCTCTCACCCCAGCCCAGGGGAGGGGCAGTCTCTGCTGCCCCAGAGGAGGAGCAGTTCCTGTGCAGACTGAGAGGCTGGCCTGGGGAGTTCCCAGGTCTTCCCCTGGCTGCGATCACCCTGGGTCCTACCAGACCACATGATGAGCAGAGCTTGGGGCCACAGGCTTGTGGAGTCAACACGTTCTCCAACATCAGAGATACCAAACTCCTCTTCCCTCTTGCAGCTCATCACCCAGGCCTTTCCTCCCACCCTCTGCCCTGGCTAGGGACAGGGTGCCCCCTCCGCCCCAATCCTCCCAGGCTCGGGCACCATTCCCAGAGCAGAGCAGAGCAGCTGCTCAGTGGCCTTTGGGGTGCCTTGTCCCTCAGCTTCAGGCAACTCGGGGATGGAGCCCAGCCTCCTTCCACTGCCGCCTTAGTGCATCAGTGACACTGTAACAGGAAGCCTCCCCATCCCCCCCCTCCAGATGCCACCAGCCAAGCTGCTTTCTGCCTGCCCAGAGTCGGGCTTTGCTGGGTGGTACCGTCAATGGGAGTGAGCGCAGAGCACCACAATGTCCCCTGGCTGCATGGTTATGGCATGTCCCCCCTGCTGCCAGCAGCTGGGAATGGGCCTCTCCCAGCCAGCCCCCAGCCCATCCTCTCTCCACTGGCCTCTATCCAGCTGCAGGCTTGTCCCTGACTAAATGAAGTGCTTTAGAAACAGAAAAATTCAAAGCCCCTGGGTGAGGAAGAGACAGTGTCTGGGTGCTGGGTGGGGTTCCTTCCAGTTCTGCAGTGCACCCCTACTTTCCTGCATTCCCACCCCCAGCTCTGCAGTGCACCCTCTGCTGTCCTGCGCTCCCACCCCCAGCTCTGCAGTGCACCCCAATCCTGAGCCACTGTCCTCCCCACCCTGTCTCTTCCTGGGCTCATAACAACTCTGCCAAAGGTGCTCAGTCCTGGCTGGCTCCATCCCCCACTCTCCTGGTCCTGCCCTCCCACCTCCAATGCTCAGTCCTGAGCACTATTCCCTATTCCAGTCCTGACCACACACCCCACAGTTGTGCCATGACACCCCAAGCCCAAGCTCCAAATGCTCTGGCCAAGGGCAGCGTGTAGGTTTCAGAGATGTTGTTGAAACCATCCCCACACTGTGTTCTTAGCCCCTTTATCACCCAGCTTGGTGCTGGGGACTGGAAGCCTCTTGCTAATGCCCTGGGAGAAGCAGGAATGAGGGATCAGGTACATACAGACCCAGCGGGGGGACATCCAGCACGTGCAGGGCTTGATTTCTGGGGGTGAGCAGGTCCCAGGCGTTTCCATCTGCACAAAGCTATAACGAGCAGCATTAGTACTGAGCAGGGGCCACCCTGGGCATGGAGCAGAGCTGGCACTGGGCTGTCTGGGTGGGGAGTGCTCCATGGCGAGGGGGCAGGAGCCCAAGGGGGTGCTGGGAGAACACACTGTGGGCTGGGTGGTTTCACACAGGGCTCCTGGATTGTGGGGCTATTTTAACAATGAGGATTGCCTGCGATGCAGGGAGCCAGCCACATGACTCCAGTGAGCCCTGGTGCAGAGGCCTTGGACCAGCTCTATGCCCAGGCGGGATCTCACCCTTGACAAACTATATGTGGTGAGCTGTAAAGCAGCTGAACTGGGAGCCTCCCCCTTCCCGGCGGGCTGGCTCTCCATGGGGCACATGCAGGGATGTGAAAGGAAATTGACGGGAACTAGAGTTCGGTCAGCATTGAAAGCTTGTATCCTGCCCAGCATCACAATGTCACTGAGGGTCTCGGGGGCAGCACTGCCGGGGTTTGTGTGTAACTGGGTGGGGCTGTGGCTGGGGACTGCATGTGTCTCCAGCAGGTGCACTGAAAACCTGTGGCATCCCAATAATGTGGGGTGGCCAGGGGGAGAGTGGAAGAGCTGGACACATCTGGGGCCTGACCCACATCCCCACTGAAGTTAGTAATTCACCAGGCTTTGGATCAGGCCCTTGGAGGGGGGTGGGGTCTGTATTGTTATCAGAAGTCCTGGCTACACTTCTCCTCTCTCATTAGAACACCCTTGGTAAAGCTGCCCCTGCTCTGACGTCACGGAGACCCTGCTACGTTTTCGCTGTGAGCCTTGGCTGATAAAATATGGTTCCTGCCTTTCCCGGATTTCTCCCCTTCTGCTGGCTGTGAGAGTGGGAAATGAGATTGTTTCCCTTGGGAAAACACCAGAAGCCCTCTCCCTTCCATTATGGCAAGGAATGATGGGCAGTTAATCAGCTGTCTGTCTGAGCTCCTGGCCTTGGACTGTGCTGCCCACGCAGATCCGATTACAGGACCAGGACTCTGCAGAGAGGTAGGGGTTCACCTGCACGGATCCGATTGCAGGATCAATGTCATAGTTCCTTCCTCCAGGGGATGGGGGAGGAAGTTAATACAGAAGCAGCCTGCCCACGCTCCTTTTCATAAAGGAACATTCCTGGGAGCCTCTCTGAATGGAAACATTTGTCATGGTTCTTTGCTATTGACATACACAGGGATCCATGCCAACTGTTCTGAAGGGAAGGTTGTTAGGCAGCTGGCTGTCCAGGGTGTAGCAGGGATAATAGTATTATTGTAAACCCAAAGAGCTAACCACTCCACAGCCCCGTCTGGAGGCATGGCCCAGCCTCAGGTGCTGTCTCCAGGGCACAGCAGGTTGTACCCCGCCATTCCTTTGCTTCTTTTTCTTTGTTTCCTCTTTCTGATGTTTAAATTCAAGGCACAAACCTGCCTTGAGGCAGCATCGTCAGGGGGCATTCAGACCCAGGAGAGCCAGGCAGGGGATGGTTCCTATGCACCAGGCTGGCTCCCGCACCCACAGATTGGGGTTCAGAACCTGCTGAGGGCAGCAGAAAAACCTGCAGGCTCCACTTCAGAGCCTGCTGAGGCCAGGGTGGGCTCGGTGCACCCTGGACAGTGGAGGTTTGTTCTGGAGCTGCTGGGAGCAGGCTCTGCCCCAGCTGACTCTGGCTCAGGCCCGTGGGACTTCACAGCACCCGAGAATGGGTGGAGCAAAAAGGGAATCTGGCCCCGCCCCCTTGATACCCATCTTCCAGCTCTGTGGCACCACATCATCCCCTTCATGCTGGGGGTTTCCCCAGCCAGCTTACAGCCTCTTTATACCGGTGGGACCCACTGACAGGAGTGGACTCTGCATACAGTGTGTTTTGTTATTTGTTAGGCTGTTCAGAGACACAGGGCCTGATCCTGGCCTTGCTGGGGTCATTGACACCCATGCCAAGTGAGTTTAAATGAGATGTACCCCATTTCCATTCTGCTCCAGCCTCATACCCACCCACTCTGCACAGGTCTCACTGACAGCACCAGGGGTGGGGCAGAGCAGGGGGCAATCCACCCCCTTGGGGAAGCTACCCACAGGCAGTGAGGGTGGGCAGTGGAAGGCAGAGCCATATGGGTAACACAGGGAAAGGAGAGGGAAGGAAAAGCCATCCTGGCTGCCGCTCAGAGCAGGAGCCCCTGGGGAAGTCCCAGCTTCCCCACACTCAACAATCCCCGGATCCTGTAGTACATTTGCCCTGCTCCGCCCATTCCCCGGTTTGGGGCTCAGACTCAGGCATTGGGGGAGGGGGGTTGCTCTGCAGACTGGCAGGACTCACAGGTGCTCCAGCTGGGAAGGTAATGGCGAAGATTGCCCAGGGGGTGTGAGAGTCCAGCCAGGGGGCAGCACAGATGGCAGCTCCAGGGCCCTTACCACATGCAATGGGAGATGCTTGTTTCTTGACTTTAGCAAAGCTTTTGACACGGTCACCCACAGTATTCTTGTCAGCAAGTTAAGGAAGTATGGGCTGGATGAATGCACTATAAGGTGGGTAGAAAGCTGGCTAGATTGTCGGGCTCAACGGGTAGTGATCAATGGCTCCATGTCTAGTTGGCAGCCGGTATCAAGTGGAGTGCTCCAAGGGTCGGTCCTGGGGCTGGTTTTGTTCAATATCTTCATAAATGATCTGGAGGATGGTGTGGATTGCACTCTCAGCAAATTTGCGGATGATACTAAACTGGGAGGAGTGGTAGATACGCTGGAGGGGAGGGATAGGATACAGAAGGACCTAGACAAATTGGAGGATTGGGCCAAAAGAAATCTGATGAGGTTCAATAAGGATAAGTGCAGGGTCCTGCACTTAGGATGGAAGAATCCAATGCACCGCTACAGACTAGGGACCGAATGGCTAGGCAGCAGTTCTGCGGAAAAGGACCTAGGGGTGACAGTGGACGAGAAGCTGGATATGAGTCAACAGTGTGCCCTTGTTGCCAAGAAGGCCAATGGCATTTTGGGATGTATAAGTAGGGGCATAGCGAGCAGATCGAGGGACGTGATCGTTCCCCTCTATTCGACATTGGTGAGGCCTCATCTGGAGTACTGTGTCCAGTTTTGGGCCCCACACTACAAGAAGGATGTGGATAAATTGGAGAGAGTCCAGCGAAGGGCAACAAAAATGATTAGGGGTCTAGAACACATGACTTATGAGGAGAGGCTGAGGGAGCTGGGATTGTTTAGCCTGCAGAAGAGAAGAATGAGGGGGGGATTTGATAGCTGCTTTCAACTACCTGAAAGGGGGTTCCAAAGAGGATGGCTCTAGACTGTTCTCAATGGTAGCAGATGACAGAACGAGGAGTAATGGTCTCAAGTTGCAGTGGGGGAGGTTTAGATTGGCTATTAGGAAAAACTTTTTCACTAAGAGGGTGGTGAAACACTGGAATGCGTTACCTAGGGAGGTGGTAGAATCTCCTTCCTTGGAGGTTTTTAAGGTCAGGCTTGACAAAGCCCTGGCTGGGATGATTTAACTGGGAATTGGTCCTACTTCGAGCAGGGGGTTGGACTAGATGACCTTCAGGGGTCCCTTCCAACCCTGATATTCTATGATTCTATGATTCTATGCTGCTCTAATGAGGGTTATAAAATCATTCCCTTATGGCCCAGATTGGGGGATGGGCAGCCAGCCTGGGGCACACACCAGCCAGCCCACCAGCGATGGATCTCCTGCACTCCATCTTACCTGGACAAAGCTGACAGTTTGCAGATGCTCCCCGCCATCCCCTGGGGGCTTTGGCTCCTGGAAGAAGATTTCTATCACCTGGGGAAGGGGTGGAACTGCTCAGAGGCCTGTGCTTTGCTCACCAGCTCCCTGGAATTTGTGGCCCGGGGGCTTCTTTTGCAGCTGGGATCTGTCCTGCCTTCAGATAGCTGGGGGAGCTCCTGTCAATTTCAGGGTCTGTCTCATCAGTTCATGGAAGAGTAGGATTGGGACTTTTGGGTGAGCTGAGAGCTCACGGCCACCCCCTGCCACCTGAGCAGCAGCCTCCCCAGTGGATCGCTGGCTGGCAATTGACCCCCTGGGATGCTATGTACAATGGCTGTTCAGATTTCAGTGGGTGTGAGGCGGAAATTTAGTGGTGGCCAGGAGTCCCTTAGGGCCTGGAAGCCCTTGGATTTTTGTGAAGGGTAAAATGTAAACGTCAGTCTATTTCAGGAGCCTTCATTGTAGTTATTCACTGCCGTTTGATTACACCCAAATTACCCACACCGATCCCCTCGCTTGGGTTGTTAGCAGGGTTTGAGCCTAGACCCGTCAGAGCTAGAAGCACGAGCCACTACAGCTTGAGCTAAAGGAGCAGCTCCTCCAGTTAACAGCTTTAATAGGTTCTTATCCTCATGTGGAGCCAATGCTAAGGGACACTGAGACATGCTGAGCTAGGCGGGAGGCCAGACGCTGTGCTAGGACGTGACAGAATGTTAATAGATTGAGAAGTGCCTCATGTAGCAACAACCACTATTGGTCTGGCAGTGGGAGGCCAAGCATGTCCCAGGGTCCCACTGACACGTCCAGGTGCTGACCCGTTTTCTCTCCCCCTCTCTCGGATGGTGCATGAGCTGCAGGCGCCTGTCTAGCTCCAGCACCCGCTGCCACCTTCCCCTGCTTTGATCCTGCGGGAGCCATGGACTAGCTGAGCTACCTGGCCACTCTGCTCCTCTGGGGGAAGCTGATGCTGGTTACACCACTGCTTCCATCTGTCTGTCTACCACACAACAGGAAATGGGAAGGCAATGGTGCTGAGCGGCTTCCAGGCAGCAGTGGCCAGAGCACTGCAGAGCCAGCACAGTTCCACACCTGGGAAGTGGGGAGCAGGAACGGTGCCTTCCCCATGGTAGAGCCACCTCCCCACCCCCCACACTTTCTGCCCCTCTCGCTGGCTTTCTCCCCGCATCAGAACTGCTGCCACCTCCATGGAGCACGGACCCGCTGGGGCAGCCAGTGGGGGAAGGGGAGAATGTCTCTCCCTGCCTCACTCTGATGCCCAGATCTGACCTGCCAACCTACTTAAATGGTGCTCCTGGCTGCCCTCTGACCCTGGGACACCACGCCCAGCACACATATGTATATTCCCGTTTGCCCAGTTCAGTGCCAAGCCCCAGGCAACTTACAAGGATTGGAAGGTTCATGCCAGTGGATGGAATGGGCCGTCCCAGCCCAGAGCATCCGAAGGGTTAAACCAGTGCGGTGAGAGGGAGACAGGACCCAGCAATAACTTCTGGGTCGCCCAGCCCGGTGTACTCACCTGCTGGATAATGCTGTGGTGCTGCCCAGTGCCCTGAGGCTGCGGCTCAGTCCCGGCATGATGGGCCTCCCACAGCAGCAGGGACACGCTGTAGCCAAGGGGCACCATGGCCAGCAGGGGTCTCACCAGCTCCGAGAACATCTCGTCCTGCAGAGAGAGTCAGGGGGAGCAACCCAAGACACAGCGACCCCAGGGGAGCTGGGGTGGATCTCGAACACAGGCCAGGGTGCTCTGCTCCAAGCCCTGACCTCAGGCCCTTCCCGCCCCCAGCCTCCCTAGTGCAGGCAGCCCCACATCATTCTTCCCCCACCCACACTGCTGATGCTGGCCCGTGCTGAGGTCTTTGGGGGTGGGGCTGGTGGGGAGAGGTAGAGACCCCATTGAAACGTGCCCAGCTGTGCAAAACTACAGGCCATTTACCAGCTGGGCTCGGACGCTTTCAGGACCCCAAGCCCTGGCTCAGTCTGGCCCTGGAGAAGCAGACCGGGAGTGGCACAGTCCATGAAGAAGGCCTGGGACCCCAAAGGAGGCATCTGCTGGGAGCAGGGGAGGGGATAGGAGACCCCTGTGCAGTGTGAGTAAGAGTGGGAATGCCAAAGACGAAGCATCGCTGTGGGGGCAGGAGCAATGGTGAAATGCCCACAGTAACTGGACTAATCCCAAGGGGAGGGGAAGCCCTGCTGCTTGGGCTATTTCCAAGTGGACTGGACCAAGCTCCACATTATTCCTAGATCTCAAGGTTCCCTCAGAGGCCTTAGGCTGATCAGGGGGTCATGACAAGCACCTTTGTAGCCCTTTCTGCCCGTGTTTGGGAGGCCAGGATAATCCCAGGGGACATGGCTGAGCTCTGGTGAGAGACATGGGTCAGTTTGCAGGGCTTGGGGAGTCTAGGGCTCAGTCTGGCTCCTGGATCAGCCTCTGGGTGCTGCCTGCCCTTGAGTCTAAGGAGAGGGGTGCAGGCCCCAGGCCTTTCCCCTTCCCAGCATAGACTTGCAGAACCCACTGTACCTGCCCCGTGTCCAGACTAAAGATGCCGTCGAACGTTAAGCAGCCCTCCTGAAAAGACACAGCAGCTGGGTTAGCACTCAGCCCTCCCTGCCTCTCACCCAGCCCCAGCACCCCCCAGCCTGGAGCTCTCCCATCCCACAGGGACTTCTGGGGTGTATTTCATCCCGCTGGGCTGGGTGCAGGAGGAATCGTAGCGTCCGAGCTCCAGGGGTTGGCAGCATTGCACTGCACTGCAGGGAGCAGCTCCACAGCCGTGGCAGGGCGGGGGCTGAGCAGGCAGTGACCTGCTGCCCTTTGCTCCTGTGGGGCTTCCAGTGAGACAGACCCTGTCGGAGGGGAACTAAGTGAGAGGGCTACATGGGAGGGGGAGGGGCTGAGAGCTGAACAGAGCCAGGCCATGAAAGAGACCTGGGACTCAACGCTCCCCCCGCCCCAGTTCCCTCCTACCCCAGTGGGTCAGGGTTCCCTCAAGCCCCAAAAGCTGATTTGTAAGACAGCAGGTGTGCCCAGTGGGATGACTTGTGCTGCTTGTGGTGAGGCCTCTGTTGCTTCGTCCTGTGCCTGGCTGGAGGGGCCAGCCCAGCACCGCCCCTGCATTCAGCCGTACTCCGGACACAGAGAGCTTCCGGGCTGCTACCTGAGCACGGGCATGACATGAGCCAAGTCTGAGCCTCATGCCCATGGTCCCCACCTTCCCTCCTCACTCCAGTTCGGGGTGAGGACACTGCCCCAGACACCACCCAATCCTACCTGAATGCCCTTGTCTGCCTTATCTATGAAAATCAGTCGGCTGGAGTCTTCGTTCACAATCCGGAAACTCTCCTGCTTCCCCGAGTCTGAAACGCCAAGTGACGGGACAGGTCAGGCCATTTACACACAGTCCAGGGGGGCCAGAGGCATGAACATCAGATCAGGGATGTGATCAAGAAATAAACTATGGGAGATCCCGCTCCCTGGGGCCTGATCCACTCCAGTCAGTCCATGGAGGCCACTCCCCTGGAACCCGCTGCAGTGAGGACTGGGATGTGCCACCCTGCACAACACCTGCAGCCTGGATCTCCTGGGCCTGGCAGCACCACCTGTGGCACACATGGCAGGCCTAGAAGGCAGGGACATGAAGCCACATGCTGGATGGGAATGAGCCAGGAAACAGGAACGAGAGCAGAGCCGGGTGACCTGACCCAACCTGCCATTCCCCAGGTACTGGGACTTTGGCCCACATGTACCTATGGGTTTTTCACCTGCTGAGCCCAGGCTGCCCTCCATTCCCTACCCCCCACCCCAATTCTCCTTCGCAGGGAGCGTCAGCCTCCTCCTGGTCCCTGCTGGGGAGCCGCAGCTCTTTGGCTTTAATCTCAGCCCATCCTCCCCACAGGCTGATCCTGCAGCTGGGGAAGGGCTGGGGTGAGGAAGGTCACTGAGCCCTGCTGCTGCTGGCCCTACCCAGTCGGTTCCCTGCAGTGGTGTAGACATGAGCTGGCTTTGCGGCAGGCTCAGGCACAGAGGGGAGGCCTGAACGCTGGTTGCTAAAGGGAACTGAGATCCCGGCTGGCTGCAGCCTACTGGGTGTAACCGTCCCTGGCTTGCTCTTGTGCTGGGGGACCATCCTCCTGCAGGGCCCTGACAGAGGGACTCTCCTGTCAGCAGTTCCCCTTTGTGGTGAACTGACAAAACCACTTCCAAGTGCTGGCCTGGGCTCCCCACCCCTCCCCCATGGAGCTGGAGCCTGGCCAGCCCTTCACTCCGAGCCCCAGGCTGAGGAGAAGTGGGGTGCAGCCTCCCAAGACCCCTGCTGCCTCCATCCTCACCCCACTTTAGGCACCAGTGGCTCAGAGAGCAAAGGGATATTGTGTCCTCATTCTGCAGTGCCCCCCCAGAGCCAGCTCACCCCCTTCTCTCCAGGTCCATCTCCTTCCTCCCCCTGTGCCCCCTTCATCATGCTCCTCTCCAGCTAACTCTGCATCTCCCCCCAGCTGCTCTTCGTGCCTGGTTGCCTTATTGCCATTCTCACCATGGGGCTCTGGCAGTGCCGGCTGGACACAGATCCCAGCTCCTTTCACAGCAGCAGCAGATAGGCTTAGCTTTTGGGCCCAGCTCTGCAGAGAGATTTACCTGCCTCTCTCCGGTTGATTTCAAGGGCAGTTAGGTGCCTAACTGGGCCTACTAGGCTCGGCTGGATTTGAACCAGTCATTGGCTTCCCAGCCCACTCCCTACTCCCATGCAGGAGCCAATCCCCTGACAAGACTACACAAAGGGGCCTGATGAATTGTAGGCACTCATGCCCTAGACCCCCTGCCCCCCCACTGCTGGGTGCCCAGGGCACCGTACCTGCTGCGCGTCGGAGTCCCACTGCGGCTTGCACACATGCCTCCTGCTTGGCCTGGAAGGAAGCACACCAGAGAGAGGTAAGGGCTTCTGCCCCAGGCCCGGCACTTCCAGGAGCAGGCTGCTAGGGAGCTGAAGGAGAAGCACAAGGGGAAGCCAGTTCCCTGGCTCCTGATGCACCAGCCAGCTCCAGAGAGCACCTGGCTCCCATTCACCAGCAGCCCAAGGAGGAGCTGGAAGCAACAGATCAGGTGTCAAAGCTGGACAAAGGGGACAGAGATAGGACAATGTGCGATGAGGGAGCCGCCCCTCCCAGACCTCCCCACTCTGGGTCCCTCAGCTAACCCCAGCAGTACTCACCTGCCCAGCGTCCATAGCTGACACCCTACTGCACTCTCCAGCCGGTGAGCTCCTTTTCCATGGAAGGGCGGGGGAATAGGGGTATAGGGAGATGAAGTTACCATGCATTTTTAATCTGCCTGGCCAGCCTGTCCTGATGCTCCTCAGGGGAGCAGAGGTAGGTGTAGGCTGCAGGTGGGGGGAGGGGGTCTTCCCCAGTTGAGCACAAGGAGCAGGTGTGGACAGAGCTGGGGAGAGCAGCGCCCGAGCTTCAAGGGCAGAGCAGAGGGTGCGGGCAAAAGGGTGGTTCCCTCCATGCCTCCCCTGCAGCAGTCGGACAGCTGAAGTCATCTGCTTGTATGGCTGCAGCACCGTCAATGGGGCAACAGCAGAGCAATCTTCTCCCACACTGGCCCCCGGAGGTGCCTCAAACCAGCCCTGCGGGGCGACTTCTAGGGCTGAGAGTGGACTTCAGACTTCACAGCTCATTTCAGTGCTTGGCCCCTGCTGTGACAGCCAACAGGGGCCAGTAACGACAGGCATCTCTCCATTGGCACCCCCAACTCCTTTCACATTCCCCTTGCCCCACGCAGTGACTTTTGGTCACTAGCGAACTGGGCTGGATTCAAACTGATGGCTTAAATGTGCAAGTCTCCGGAGAAACCTCATCTCCTCCGAACCTCATTAGTTAATGACCCGCACTCCTTTTTATTTTTACTGTTATTCATTTGCCTCATTAGAGTTCCCTAGGTCCCCAGCCCTGGATCAGTGCTCCACCATGCTAGACACTGTACAAACTGTACTAAAGAGATAGTCCTGCCTGGAAGAGTTTACAATCTAAACAAGAGACAGACTATCCTCTAGCAAAGCCCCTCTGCACAGCCTGAGCAGCTCCTCCAAAGCTCATAGCATCATAGAATCATAGAATCATAGAATATAAGGGTTGGAAGGGACCCCAGAAGGTCATCTAGTCCAACCCCCTGCTCGAAGCAGGACCAATTCCCAGTTAAATCATCCCAGCCAGGGCTTTGTCAAGCCTGACCTTAAAAACCTCTAAGGAAGGAGATTCCACCACCTCCCTAGGTAACGCATTCCAGTGTTTCACCACCCTCTTAGTGAAAAAGTTTTTCCTAATAGCCAATCTAAACCTCCCCCACTGCAACTTGAGACCATTACTCCTCGTTCTGTCATCTGCTACCATTGAGAACAGTCTAGAGCCATCCTCTTTGGAACCCCCTTTCAGGTAGTTGAAAGCAGCTATCAAATCCCCCCTCATTCTTCTCTTCTGCAGGCTAAACAATCCCAGCTCCCTCAGCCTCTCCTCATAACTCATGTGTTCCAGACCCCTAATCATTTTTGTTGCCCTTCGCTGGACTCTCTCCAATTTATCCACATCCTTCTTGAAGTGTGGGGCCCAAAACTGGACACAATACTCCAGGTGAGGCTTCACCAATGTCGAATAGAGGGGAACGATCACGTCCCTCCATCTGCTCGCTATGCCCCTACTTATACATCCCAAAATGCCATTGGCCTTCTTGGCAACAAGGGCACACTGCTGACTCATATCCAGCTTCTCGTCCACTGTCACCCCTAGGTCCTTTTCCGCAGAACTGCTGCCTAGCCATTCGGTCCCTAGTCTGTAGCTGTGCATTGGGTTCTTCCGTCCTAAGTGCAGGACCCTGCACTTATCCTTATTGAACCTCATCAGATTTCTTTTGGCCCAATCCTCCAATTTGTCTAGGTCCTTCTGTATCCTATCCCTCCCCTCCAGCGTATCTACCGCTCCTCCCAGTTTAGTATCATCCGCAAATTTGCTGAGAGTGCAATCCACACCATCCTCCAGATCATTTATGAAGATATTGAACAAAACCGTTGCACTCCATCAGTTTGTTGCTCCTGGGAAAGCCCTCTGAAACACATACCTCCCTTGTCTGAGTGTCCTGGGGTCTCAGCAACCATATGACCTTACTTGAGTGCCCTTCAGTATAACACCAAAAATAAACCACAAATACTTGGCTCTGTAACAGCAGAGTACAGCCCAGAGCAGGGCCCGTGGCTACAGATGCTAATGAGCATTAATAAATCAATGATCAGGAAATGCTTCATTTTAAAAGAATAGATGATCAGCAGACATAGTACCATAGGACTGGAAGGAACCTCGAGAGGTCCTCTAGTCCAGTCTCCTGCACTCGTGGCAGGACTAATTATCTAGCCCATTCCTGACAGGTGTTTGTCTAACCTGTTCTTAGAAATCTCCAATGATGGAGATTCCGTAATCTCCCTAGGCAATTTATTCCAGTGCTTAACTACTCTGACTGGAAGTTTTTCCTAATGTCCAACCTAGACCTCCCTTGCTGCAATTTAAGCCCATTGCTTCTTGTCCTATCCTCAGAGGTTAAGAAAAACAATTTTTCTTCCTTCTCCTTGTCCACGTGTATACATTTTTAATATATAAGGCAACACCTTCTCCCTTTTTTCCCTGCTGGTCCTTTCTGAGCAAGCTGTACCCTTCTATACCAATATTCCAGTCATGTGTATTATCCCACCAGGTCTCTGTGATGCAAACTATGTCATACTTGTGTTTATTTACTAGCATTTCGAGTGCTTCCTGCTTATTCCCCTTATTCCACATGCTAGATGGTGTCCTCCTTCTAGATGATGATATGGTATCCTCTCACACTGAGAATACCACTCCATTAGGAGGGAACCCCTGTTATTAGGAAAAGGCAGGTAATAATAGTGGGGGATTCAATTATTAGAAATATAGATAGTTGGGTTTGTGATGACCAGGAGAACTGCATGGTGCCCAGGAGATGACCAGGAGAAGCCTGCCAGGTGCGAAGGTTGTGGACCTCTTGAGACATCAAAACAAAATTGTTTGCAGTACTGGGGAGAAGCTGGTGGTCATGGTACATGTAGGTACCAGTGACACAGGGAAAGGTAGGAGAAAGGTCCTGGAAGCTAAATTCAGGCTGCTATGTAAGAGATTGAAGTCCAGGACCTCCATGGCAGCATTCTTTGAAATGCTTCCAATTCCACACCTAGAGTCAGTTAGACAAGCAGAACTGCAGGGACTCAATGTGTGGATGAGATGATGGTGTTGGGAGGAGGGATTTAGGTTTACTAGGAACTGGAGAATCTTTTGGGAAAGGAGGAGCCCAGACAGGAAGGATGGGCTCCACCTAAACCAAAATGGAACCAGATTGCTGGCATGTTTTTAAATTAAGGGCTGGGGGGGAAGCTGACAAGTGAGAAGGAGCACATGGTTTGGACAGAGACATCTCTTACAGGAGGTTTTATTAAAGGGGATACTCTATATCCTAGTAATGAGGAGAGGATAAAAGTAGATAAAGTACAGGAAGAAACAGAAGAGAAACAGTCAAATGAAAAAGAGTCCCATTCAATTACATCACAGGAAGGCAGACAACTAAATACTGATAAATTGTATAACTGCTTGTATACCAATGCAAGAAGTCTAAATACTAAACTGGGTGAACTTGAGTGCTTGGTATTAAATGAGGATATTGATATAATAGTCATCACAGAAACTTGGTGGAATGATGATAACCAATGGGACACCGTAAAACCTACAGTCATGCTGCTGGGGGAATGGCACTATATGTGGAAGAAAGCATAAAGGCAAACAAAGTAAAAATCTTAAATGAATCAAACTGTACCACAGTATCACTATGGATAGAAATTCCATGCTTAAATAATAAGAATATAGCAGTAGGGATATACTACCGACCACCTGACCATGATGGTGATGGTGACTGTGCAATGCTCAGCGAGATTAGAGAGGCTACAAAAGCAGAATACCCAATAATAATGGGGGATTTCAACTATCCCCATATTGACTGGGTAAATGTCACCTCAGGTCAGGATGCAGAGATAACGTTTCTGGACACCATTAATGACTGCTTCCTGGAGCAGCTAGTCCTGGAACCCACAAGGGGAGAGGCAATTCTTGATTTAGTCCTAAATGGAGCACAGGATCTGGTCCAAGAACTGCTTGGTATTACAGACTATAATTTAATTAAATTTAACATCCTTGTAGGGGAGAAAATACCAAAGAAACCCATGACAGTAGCTTTTAACTTCAAAAAGGAGAGCTACACAAAAATGAGGAAACTAATTAAATGGAAATTAAAAGGAACAGTCACAAGAATGAAATGCCTTAAAAGCTGCATGGAAATTATTTAAAAGCACCATAATAGAGGCTCAAACTAAATGTATCCCCCCCTCTAAATAAATAGTAAAAGGATCAAAAAGATCCATCATGGCTAAAGAGCAGAGTAAAAGAGACAGTTAGAGACAAAAAGGTATCCTTTAAAAACTGGATGTCAAATCCTACCAAGTAAAATAGAAAGGAACATAAACTCTGGCAAGTCACATGTGAAACTATAATGAGGCAGGCCAAAAAACAAAACAAAACAAAACAAAAATATTTCCCTTTACACACAAACTCACTGTGTGGGGGGGCGGAGGGTGAGAAAACCTGGATTTGTGCTGGAAATGGCCTAACTTTATGATCACTTTAGATAAGCTATTTACCAGCAGGACAGTGGGGTGGGAGGGGGTATTGTTTCATGGTCTCTGTGTGTATATAATGTCTACTGCAGTTTCCACGGTATGCATCCGATGAAGTGAGCTGTAGCTCACGAAAGCTCATGCTCAAATAAATTGGTTAGTCTCTAAGGTGCCACAAGTACTCCTTTTCTTTTTGGTTAAAAGCCAGGAAACAAAGGATAGGAATAAATTGTCAGTTTTCACAATGGAGAGTGATAAATAGTGGGGTCCCCCAAGGATTTGTACTAGGACCAGTACTGTTCAACATATTCATAAATGATCTGGAAATGGGTAAACTGTGAGGTGGCAAAGTTTGAAAATGATACAAAATTACTCAAGACAGCTGAGTCCAAAGCTGACTGTGAAGAGTTACAAAGGGGTCTCAAAAAACAAAGTGACTGGGTAAAAAAACGGCAGATGAAATTCAATGTTACTAAGTGCAAAGTAATGCACACTAGAAAAAATAATCCCAACTATACATACAAAACAATGGGGTCTAAACTAGCTGTTACCACTCAAGAAAGAGATCTTAGAGTCATTGTGGCTATTCTTGAGAACATCTGCTAATGTGCAGCGGTAGTCAAAAAAGCTAACAGAATTTTAGGAACCATTAGGAAAGTGATAGATAATAAGACAGAAAATATCATAATGTCACTATATAAATCCATGGTATGCCCACACCTTGAATACTGTATGCAGTTCTGGTCACCCCATCTCAAAAAAGATATATTAAATTGGAAAAAGGACAGAGAAGGGCAACAAAAATGTTTAGGGATATGGAGCAGCTTCCATATGAGGAGAGATGAAAAAGACTGGGACTGTTCATCTTAGAAAAGAGATAACGGGGGGGGGGGGGCAGGGGGATATAGCAGAGGTCTATAAAATCATGAATGGGATGGAGAAAGTGAATGAGGAAGTGTTATTTATGCCTTCTCATAAGAACCAGGAGTCACCCAATGAAATTAATAGGCAGTAAGTTTAAAACAAATATAAGGAAATACGTCTTCACACAGTGCACAGTTAACCTGTGGAACTGGTTGACAGGGGAAATTGTAACAGACAAAAGTATAACTGTGTTAAAAAAATAAGTAGATAAGTTCCTGGAGGATAAGTCAATCAATGGCTATTAGCCTGGATGGTCAGGGATGCAACCCAATGCTCTGGGTGTCCTTAAACCTCCGACTGCCAGAAGATGGGACTCAGTGACATAGGATGGATCACTCAATAAATTGCCCTGTTCTGTTGATTCCCCCTGAAGCATGTGGCACCGGCCACTGTTGGAAGACTGGCTATTGGACTAGCTGGCCCATTGATCTGACTGAGTATGCCATTCTTATGTTGCTGAAATGTATCCCAATGATTGTGAGGCTTTTAGCAGAGAATGCTGCAGCAACTCAGACACTGGAGCCTGTCAACCCAGTTAGAGCAGTCACTAGTGGTGTTATTACAGCCTGTTTTCTATGGCAGCAGTAAGAGGCAAACAACCTCAATCCAGCACTCATTTATTATTAATGCTGGGTTTGGCATGTGATCTTCATGGACAATGGGAATATGGTAAAAAGTGACTATGTAAAACTGGCATCTTCCTGCTCCACGGTCTGCTCCCTGGGCATCTCTGAGGTCCAGCCACTCAAGTCTCACTGCTATTTACCCTCTAAGAGCCACAGCAGCTTCGGGAGAGAGAGCAGAAATCTATCCTTGTGCATTATCGGTGACACTGCCAGCTCCATTCCAGCTGCAAACTCTTCCTTCCCAGGGGCACTGTAAGCAGCAGAGGAACAGGGGGGCTTTCAGACAGTCAGTGCAGCTGGATTCCATTCTTCCATATGCAGAGATCAGCCATCCACTTTCAGTCTGGAGTGTTTTTATTTTAGGTTAATCAATAATAAGGAAGTACAAAGTGAAGTCCCACGAGAGAGCCCCCCCCCAACCCCCAGGTGGGCCCCTGCCCAGTGATGAGCGGCCAAAATCTTAACAACGGGTTCCCTCCTCACCCCATGAAGGGGTTGTTGCCCACTCCTGCCCCATCCAACCCCCCTGCGTTCCTTGATGCCCCCCCATCCACCCTCCTCCCCTGTCCCCTGACTGCCCCCAGAACTGGGCAGGAGGGTCTCGTGGGCCACCATAGTGGGTGCCCACCTGACCCCTAAGAGCCAGTGACACCTGCTGGGGGGCGAGGTTTGGAGTCCTGGAGGTGCTTACCTGGGGCAGCTCCCAGGAAGCATCTGGCAGGTCCCTCTGGCTCCTAGGGGCAGGGGAGCGTAGCTGGGGGGGGAGCAGGGGGAGTGGCTGCTCCCCCACTGATCACATTAAAAGTGGCGCCTTAGGCGCCAACTCCCTGGGTGCTCTGGGGCTGGAGCACCCACGGGGAAAATTTGGTGGGTGCAGAGCACCCACCGGCACCTTCCCACCCCGCACCTGGCCACAGCTCACCTCACCTCCACTCCTCCTCCCCTGAATGCACCACCCCGCTTTGCTTCTCTGCCCCCCGGCTTCCTGCAAATCAGCTGTTCGGTGGGAAGCTGGGGAGGGCTGAGAAGCAGGCGGCGGCTTCCCGCTCAGGTCCAGGGTGGCGCAAGTGAGCTGGGGCAGGGAGCGGTTTCCCTGCGCGCCGCCCCTGCCCCCCAGGTTACCTGCTGTGGCACGGGCAGCCCTCCTCATGCCCCACCCCCACCCCCACCCCAGCTCACCTCCTCCTCCCTGGGCCTGAGCAGGAAGCCCTGGCCTGCTTCTCAGCCTGCCCCAGTGTCCCGTGCGAACAGCTGATTCGCGGGAAGCCTGGGGTGGGGGGCGGAGAAGCAGAGCGGGGCGGCGCATTCAGGGGAGGAGGCGGAGGCGGAGCGGAGGTGAGCTGGGGCTGGGGGTTGTGGGGGGAGCTGCAAATTTTCCCCTTGGGTGCTCCAGGGCTGGAGCACCCATGGAGTCAGCGCCTAAGGCGCCACTTTTGGCCAGTTAAATTTGTCCCTCGAGGAACAACTGGTTCTAAAAGGGCTTCTAAATTTAACAACCGTTTCTAGCGAACCGGTGGGAACCGGCTCCAGCTCACCACTGCCCCCCTCTAGGACACACTGCCCTGAGCTGTATGTGTCAGCCCAGATCCTCCAAGGTACCAGATGTGTAGCTTCATCAATTTCCGTGAGAGTTAGGCACCTAAACACTAATGGCTGCCTGTCTCCGTAGACAGCAGAGGCCTTGGAGATTTAAAGGGGCAGTACATGAAAAGGAAGGCATAATAGTCAATGAAATAACCCATGCACTGAGGGTTGGAAAAATAATTGCTTGACTTGTAAAACGAGTACATTGGACCAAATTCTGCTCTCATTACTTAGGTGTAAAATGTGGAGTAAGTCAGTGTACCTGAGAGCAGAATCTACGTCCTTTATTATAGCCAACACTAAGGCCTTGTCCCCACACAAGTTGTACCACTTTAACTATATTAGCATAGTGAATGCGTATAACCACCACTGTGGATGCAGTGCTACTGGTATAAGGTGCTTATGCTGGTCCAGTTTATTCCAGTATGGGTCGGGGAATAAGCTAAATCAGTATAAGCACATTTATACCCACTACTACTGTGTCCACACTAGAAGCTGTACCAGTATGACTATATTGGTAAAAAAAAAAAATCCCCCCTGCCCCTAAGTGATCTAGTAACTTCTATCTGGACACAATCTGTGTGTAGAGCTGACCCAAGTGAATAGGGCAGAAGGGAGTACATTCAATCCCTCCTGAGAACACTGTAGGCAGCTGGAAGACAGAGGAATGCAACTAGCTTATAGAGGTTACAAGCTAGAGAGTCTGCTTGAATAAAGAATTCAGTCTCCTCTTTCTGGCTTGCTCACTCTGCTCCAGGATCTGCGAGACAGCATGAATGGGGAGCCCCATAACATCAGTGGGGCACAGTCACTTTTCTGATCACACCTGCGCTTTAAAGTGATGCCAAAAACCTGTTTGGTACCTCAGATGTCTGCAACCATCCAGCATATGATCCCCACAGAGCAGGGGGGGTGGAGGCAGTGCTCAGGGGTTCCCTCCTGAAGGAACGGCCACTAGGCTGGATGCCAGCCCCAGGATAGGCTGGCCCCTCAGGTAGCAGTGCTGCAGTGCAACTTGGTCATCAAAAACATATGCATTTGCAGACAGTGATGTTCTAGAGCCCGCATCCTGCCATGTGAAGGGCAGAGCCTTTGCAGTCAAATCCTAGCTACTGGCTCAGCCAGACCGTGCTTTACATCTGGCAAAGAAAATGATCCCAGCCAAGCAGCTCAGTACAAGAAGTACAGTGACAGGAATTATCACAATGGCCTTGTTGCACTGCAAGACTGAAGCAGGCACATTCTTCACCAGGGTGCCCTGGTAATGAGACGGGGATTCACACGTGTAGTCCTGAGGCCAGTCTGGCATCAAGGACTCTGTGCTCGCCAAGGCCTGGATCTCACTGGCACCCGCACATGAACAGTTGTAGAGATTCTGACCTGCCCTTAGGCTCTGCAGGTGTCTCAGAGACCGCAGCTGATCCCTTGGGAGACGAGAGATCAGGTTTCCATCTAGACTGAGGACTTCTAGAGCAGGATAGTTCTTGGCTGAGGGGACAGCATGCAGTCTGTTGTTGGACAGGTGGAGTTTCTTCAGGAAGGGGAGTGCAAGGTCTAGAGCATGAAGGTTATTGGAACTCACATCTAATACTTCAACACTGGGGGGCAGAGGCAGGGAGATGTGATCTAAGCCCGTGGTGGACAAGTTGAGGATGCGGAGGGATGGCTGCCACTGACATGAAGAGAAGGGGATAGCCAGGAGGTCATTCTGACTCAGGTCTAAGTGGACGAGCTTCTCCAGATCGTGCAGCATTTCACACACAGTGTGGAAGGAGCTCAGATTGTTGCGATGGAGTTTTAATACTTGGAGTTGTGGGAAAGCCCCCTGGCAAAATGAAGGCCTCATGCTCTGGTCTTGGAGGTGGTTTTCCGACACATCCAGATAGCGTAAGGTTCTGAAAACCTTGCCAATGCTGCATGGAATGTAGGTGACCTGAGACTGTGTCACAGTCAGATTCTGCAGGGTCTCCAGCCAGCCACTCAGGTGGGCGAAGTCTTTGTCTCTGTCAGTCAGGGAGGTGGAGGTCACGTTATGGAAGCGTAATGAGGAGACAGGCAGAATTAACCTGTCCATGTGGAACCAGCTGGCATTTCCAAGGAAAGTGCAGCTTTCAAACTCGAGCTCTGTAATACGCATGTAGTAAATGAACTTCATAACAGCTGCCAAGAGAACCTCTGGCACGAGAAGATCTCCAAAGATAATCTTGGTCACCTGCAGCGACTGCAGTATGTTGAGCACCGATTGCTCTACTGTGATTGATGCAAAACCTGCATATTTCTCCAAGTTTCCTCCTCGAAGCTCAAAGACAAAGGCATGGAAACACTGAAGGAGGTTTCCCATGTTTTCCCGATTCAAAAGAGAGCAGGTGCAATGACTTTGGGACTTATTGAAGGAGCAGTCGCCTCCTACCTCAGAGAGTTTCAATCCTGTGAGCAGAATAACCACAAACAGCGGAGAGATGTGCATGATGAATAGCCTAGAAAACAGAAGAGCAAGAGTAAAGCCCAGGCCTTTGCTGTTACAGAGCTGGGGCTGCAGGCACTAACATTCAGTGAAGCCAATGGGAGGCGAGGGGTGATCTCTGGAGCCTTTGCTCCATGCAATACAAGCACCATTACAAGGCTAGGATTATTCACAGGACATTGTTCCTGAGTCCAGTACTGGGCACCAATAGAAGGGCATGTGAGCATTCCCCCTGCACAGCAACCTCCGGGGGAGAATGAGGGTGGAAGAGAGTTAGGTGAGAGCAAGTCCAGACTTTGGTGAGAGCTACTGCCTTGGACTCAGGGATTGATTTGATGCTTGCTGGCACTGCTGGAAGCCTCAGTTCTGGGTAGGTTTTAGCCAGTTCCTCCTACCAGTAATGGAGTGCTTGTTCAGTGAGTACTGTTAGCTCAGGCATGGTCTCCAAGGCATTGGGATGAAGGTGGGTGGCCTCTATTACTAGTCACACAACGCCTCAGTGATGTGACACCAGGTAAAACCCTGGTCCCATTCAAATCCAGGGCAAAACATCCACTGGCTACCATGGAACTTACAGCATCAGTCCCAGCTGGAAGTCAATGGAGCTAAGCTGAGGATCTGGCCCCCAGAGCTTTAGGAGATGTCACAGCCAAGTCAAAGATGGATCTGAGCCACAAAGTTCAGGCCTGGATCCAGCTTCAGATTTGCCCAAAGGCTGGAGGAGATACTCAGCTCCATGGTGTCTCTAGTTACATTGTCTCTTCATGAGGATTCTCACCTAGATCTGGTTTACGGGCCAGCAGTGATTCCTCGTCCCTCCCATCCCAGTGAACATGCAGCAGCCAGTGGAGGAGAGTCGGTATTTCTCCCCACACAAAGCCTGTTTCTCTTCACAGGCAGAGCTGTGCCTCACCCTGCCAGCAGCCCCATTTGGATGGGAATCTGCCCATTTCCCACCCCTCAACAATCCTCTCCAGCAAAGAGAGCTGCTTCGTCCCACCCAGCCATGAAGGACTTCTCAATGCTCGAGTGCCAGTTTGAATCCTGTGCACTGGGTTGGGGGGGAAGGCTGCCAAATCCCAGGCTGGGGAATCTCTTCCCATTAAGTGCCCTGGCAAACCCAAGGGCACAGCAGGAGGAGATGCTAGAAATGGCAAATCACACAAGAGAAAGTATGGTCTAGTGGTCAGAGCACAGAACTGGGGGTCAGTGACTCCCTTCTTTTATTCAAAGCTCTGACAGAGGCTCACTGTGCACTCTTGGGAAGGTTAGTTCACCTCTCAATGCCTCAGTTTCCCTATCTCAAACTGGAGTTCTAACAACTACCAACCTCACAGGGAGTGGTGAGGGATCATTCAGTAATATACATACAACACTGAGAATGTGTAAACTGTGGGGTCTGGTTATTCTATATGACTGAGTGACCCGGATCAGGACTGTTGATGGGCAGTCCAAAAAGTGCCAGCAGTTAAAGGGTTAAAAGATGATAAAGAATGCTTTGCTTGTTTTGCAGAGGTGCATTTCCCAGGTGCCCCGCATGACTGGAGAAGCAATCACATTTCATCAGCATTACAGAGGGGTTATTGTTAAAGGACTCACCTGCCAACTTGGAATTGCAATATTTTCCTGGCAAGGAAGCGGCTCAATTCCTTTAGCTTTTGGGAGACCTTGATTAAGATGTCAGTGGTTTTCTCTTGTGAGCTGCTTTACTCTCCTGCATGGAACCCTCCTTCACTCAAAACCCTTCACTTACTGCTACTCACTGTCACACAGTTTCCCAGTTGCTACTTCCTTTTGCACAAATCTATTCTGTTTGTTTCCTGAAACAGAACTGCAGTTGGGAAATACTAATGAGTATAAGGCATTTCATAATCCTTCCCAAATCCTCCACGCCCAGAATGCTGTCTGGGCCAGCAGTGGGCCTGACCAAGACACCGAAAGGGGAAGAACTGGGTTTCCTGTGCTCCAGCTGCCCAGAAAGCTAAGGAGATCTTGCTTTGATTTCCTTATAGTATGCTTCTCCTCTGAAAAGTACCTCTGTCCAAACGGCATTGCAGGGTTACAGGTTTGTCTGACTTTGGGGAAGGGATGGAATGAGGGCGGGGTGAGGGCAGTGCAGGAGTGGGGCCAGGGCTGGGCGGGGGGGTCGAGCACCCAGTGGGAAGAGTGGAAGTTGGCGCCTATGCCCAAGAGCGTGCTTGATTCTTGATTCTCAGGTCCCAGGTGGAGTTAGCAGAGTTTAAACTAGGGCTGTCAAACGATCAAAAAAATTAATCGCGATTAATCGCACGATTAAAAAAAATAATTGCCATTAAATTGCACTGTTAAACAATAATAGAATACCATTTATTTAAATATTTGTGGATGTTTTCTACATTTTCAAATATATTGATTTCAATTACAACACAGATTACAAAGTGTACAGTGCTCACTTGATATTTATTTTTGATTACAAGTATTTGCACTGTAAAAAACCCCAAAGGAAATAGTATTTTTCAATTCACCTGATACAAGTACTGTAATGCAATCTCTTTATCTCAAAAGTTAAACTTACAAATGTAGAAGTATGTAAAAAAACCTGCATTCAAAAATAAAACCATGTAAAATTTTAGAGCCTGCAAGTCCACTCAATCCTACTTCTTGTTCAGCCAATTGCTCAAACAAGTTTGTTTACATTTGCAGGAGATAATGCTGCCCGCTTCTTGTTTACATTGTCACCTGAAAGTGAGAACAGGTGTTCTCATGGCACTGTTGTAGCCAGCGTCGCAAGATATTTATGTGCCAGATATGCTAAAGAGTCATATGTCCCTTCATGCTTCAACCACCATTCCAGAGGACATGCGTCCATGCTGATGACAGGTTCTGCTTGATAATAATCCAAACCAGTGTGGAATGATGCATTTTCATTTTCATTATCTGAGTCAGATGCCACCAGCAGAAGATTCATTTTCTTTCTTGGTGGTTCGGGTTCTTTAGTTTCTGCATCAGATTGTTGCTCTTTTAAGACTTCTGAAAGCATGCTCCACACCTCGTCCCTCTGAGATTTTGGAAGGCACTTCAGATTCTTAAACCTTGGGTCGAGTGCTGTCGCTATCTTTAGAAACCTCACATTGGTACCTTCTTTGTGTTTTGTCAAATCTGCAGTGAAAGTGTTCTTAAAATGAACAACATGTGCTGGGTTATCATCCGAGACTGCTATAACATAAAATATATGGCAGAATGTGGGTAAAACAGAGCAGGGGACATACAATTCTCCCACAAGGAGTTCAGTCAGAAATTTAATTAACACATTATTTTTAACGAGTAGCATCAGCATGGAAGCATCCCCTGGCATATGTGTGTGTGTGTGTGTATATATATACACACACACAGTAAGTAGTACCTTACTAATTGAGCTGTCCCAAAGGGTGGAAGATTTGGGTCCACAATTAATTATAAGAAAACAGAGCCCTATAGAAGTATTGTATACAGGTGTAGAAACTACTAGCATGCAAACTGCATAATCTGTGGGTGACGTTCCCCTGGTGTTATCTCGGCCGGTGATCCGCTAGGTCACTCCAATCCTCGACTCTGGGAGCCATCCTTACCCTGCTGTGCTGTGAGAAACCCCCACACCTGGACTGTTCACACATAGCCTCTGGCATGTAAGATGCTTGGATTGTGCAACTAGCCAATATCTCCGGTCCCAGACACAACCCTAGGAACCTCTGTATTGCAGTGTCCAGTTATGCCCACTGGACGCTGCAAGTTTATGTGAGTTCGTCAATTTAACAAAGAAATTGATACATACCAGGCTTGTTATCCCCAGGAGAGTCTCTGACACACTTTAAACAAAATACACTGCTTTAGGTAGAATAAACAAACAAATTTATTAACTACAAAGATAGATTTTAAGTGATTTTAAGTCAAAGCACAAGAAGTCAGATTTGGTCAAATGAAATAAAAGCAAAATGCATTCTAAGCTGATCTTAACACTTTCAGTGCCCTTACAAACTTAGATGCTTCTCACCACAGGCTGGCTGGTTGCCCTTCAGCCAGGCTCTCCCTTTTGATCAGCGCCTCAGTCGCTTGGTGGTGATGTCTGTAGATGTAGGTGGAAGAGAGAGGAAGAGCATGGCAAATGTCTCTCCCTTTTATCATAGAATCATAGAATATTAGGGTTGGAAGAGACCTCAGGAGGTCATCTAGTCCAATCCCCTGCTCAAAGCAGGACCAACACCAACTAAATCATCCCAGCCAAGGCTTTGTCAAGCCAGGTCTTAAAAACCTCTAAGGATGGAGATTCCACCACCTCCCTAGGTAACCCATTCCAGTGCTTCACCACCCTCCTATTGAAATAGTGTTTCCTAATATCCAACCTACACCTCCCCCCTGCAACTTGAGACCATTGCTTCTTGTTTTGTCATCTGCCACCACTGAGAACAGCCTAGCTCCATCCTCTTTGGAATCCTCCCCCTTCAGGTAGCTGAAGGCTGCTATCAAATCCCCCCTCACTCTTCTCTTCTGCAGACTAAATAACCCCAGTTCCCTCAGCCTCTCCTCGTAAGTCATGTGCCCCAGCCCCCTAATAATTTTCACTGCCCTCCGCTGGACTCTCTCCCATTTGTCCACATCCCTTCTGTAGTGGGGGGACCAAAACTGGATGCAATACTCCAGATGTGTTCTTTCTTCCGTCTTGGCTTTGCCCCACCCCCCTTCAGAGTCAGGTGAGCATTACCTCATCGTAGTCCCAAACTGACCGAAGGAAGGGGGGTGACTCAATGAAGAGTCCATAGATCCTTTGTTGCTGTCTAGGCTAGTGTCCTTTGTTCCTGTGAGGCTGGGCTGGGTTTGTCCCATACATGCCCTGATGAGGTATGAACTGCCCCTCTGCTCTTGGAGAATTTTTGCCTGGGCTTGTTTTAAGCCACAAGGACGCATTTTCAGCCTCATAACTATATAAATGAAATTACAACCTATAACATTACTGTAACAACAATTACTGTAACATTACTATAACAACAATGCTCGGTGCATCATGAGCCTTCCAAAGACACCCAATGTGACAAACTTTGCATTGGATACTACACAATCATTTTATACGGATGAGCACGGGGGTGCTGGGTGTTCCTTCGAGATACAGAACATTATACTTTGGCAGTTACTGCTAGATCAGATTAAACTCAAATCAGATTATAAACATTACTTTCCTATCATTCAAGGGAGTCAGCATGGAAGTTATATGGGGTTGATCCTACTCTCACTGAAGTCAAAGGCAAATCCTCCATTGATTTCAGTGGGGCAGAATCCGGATGTTAATGGGCCCATTTCTAACCTCTGAAGCTGTGCCTGCAAAATGTGCATGTGTAGGGGAATTTACTTGAGAAAAGAGTTTCAAGGATGAGTCAAATCCCTCAGTAATAGAGTCCCATAGTCACTATCTGGACTAGAAACTCTTGGGAGGAGTGGCACAAATAACACCTGGCTAACAGGCAGTGCCACATACTGAAAGTTCACCAAAGGAGCCAGGGAAGGGGGGAAGGGATAGCTCAGTGGTTTGAGCACTGGCCTGCTAAACCCAGGGTTGTGAGTTCAATCGTTGAGGGGGCCATTTAGGGATTGGGGCAAAAATTGGGGATTGGTCCTGCTTTGAGCAGGGGGCTGGACTAGATGACCTCCTGAGGTCCCTTCCAACCCTGATATTCTATGAAGGCTGCAGAAAGTGGAATACAGCACAATTCCCCAACGCGTTCTCTGGTGAAGCCTCCTGATCTACATCCCCAGGGCTTCCCTGACCAACACAGTCAGGGCCAACCATGTCCAGGGCGCCTGTCCTCTGGCAGCCCCTTCTGACTAGGGGAGACCACCTGTGTTTCAAGGGAAACAAGGACAATTATATGGGAAATACAGAACAAAGGGTAGTTTAAAGGGCCGGCCTCTCCTGTCCATCCAGGTAGTTTATCCACAGTAAAAATCCTCCATCTATCTCACAGGTCAGATCTTCAGCATGATTATTGCTTGAGAGAATGTGTCTGACCAGTCACTTCTTAGTGGCTCTTTACTGAACAGGAGACGTGGGGATGTTTGGCACCAGGTACAGGATGTCTCTTGAAATACCCTTGTTCCCAGTTGACACACCCAAGGCCCCCAACCCCCCAGCAGCCCTCCTTGTCACACCCTGATGGCTCCCTCTCTCAAGGGGTCTCCTGGGGAAGGCAGATCAGCATTGTATATTGCTAATGCTGTTGCAAGCATTGCAGAATATTTTGGGAAGGGTCAAAGGTATAAGTGAGTGTGAAATGGAAGATTATTTTGCAGGCTGTGAAAGGCCATAGGGGGAAGGAGAAAGAGAGCAGAGAACGGGTTAACTCAACACTACAGTTAACAAGCTCAGTCCGACAATAAGAGCTGGCCCCAGTCCAAGGTCACATCCTCACTGTTACCCAACCCCCACACTAACACACCTGGAACCCCCAATTCCCTGGAGTGATTGGACCCTCCAATCACTAGCACCCAGGACCCCAAAACGTCCTGGGAACCCCCCTCACTGACATTTGGGGTCCCCCAATCTCTGGGGACTACCCTCACTGACATCTAGGACCCCCAGGGAACCCCCCGCACTGAAACATGCAAGCCCCCCAGCCCCCTGGGATCCCCTCACAGCCCCCTTGGGACCCCCCTCACTGATCCCCCAATGCTCCTGGGACCTTCCTCACTGACACCCCCGGTACCCCAGCCCCCTGGGAATCCTCCCAGTCCCCCGGGAACCCCGCAGCTTGACACCCTTGGGACACCCCTCACTGACACGCCAGGAACCCTCAGCCCCCGGGACCGCCGTTACTGACATCCCGGGACCCCAGTTCCCCCCTCACTGACTCCTTCCCTCCCGCAGACTCCGGCTCCCCCAGCACCCGCGCCCCAATCTTCACAGAGCCCGGGATCCGAGGCCTGCTGCGGCAGCTCAGACCGCGGCCTCCCGTAGATGCCGCGCCGCCGCGGCTCGGGCCCGGCTCCCGGAAGCGCGCGGTCCCCGGCCGCCATCTTCCGCGCTGGAGCCGTCGGCGGCTTCCACCCGCCGCCTCGGCCGCGATCGGGATGTGGAGCCGGAGGAGCTCCCGGTACCGGCCCGATGCCAGTGGCCTGGAGGAGCTGCGGGGCCGCCGGCGGGAGCAGGAGTCAGGTCCGGGCCCGACAGAGCCGCCGGGCTCAGGCCTGGGGACCCCGGCTGGGCCCTGCAGGAGCCAGTCTGGGGGGGCGGTTCTGGAGGTCCGGGCAGCTGGTTCGGTTGGGGGCAGTTGGCTCTGGATCCTTGTGTCTGGGGGGTGGGGGTCTTGGGAGGGGGATCTGGGCTGAGAGGAGTTGCTGCCGTTCTGGGAAGGGGTTCAGACCCCTGGGACCGGGCTTACTGCCAGGGACTGAGAAACAGACACTCTTTTCTATTTGAGCATAAGCTTCAAATGCATGCAGTGGAAAATACAGTAGGAAAAAATATATATCTTGCATCTGATTAAGTGGGCTTTAGCCCACAAAAGCTTATGCTCAAATACATTTGTTAGTCTCTAAGGTGCCACAAGTACTCCTTGTTCTTTTTGCTGATACAGACTAACATGGCTACCACTCTGAAACCAGAGACTCTCTTGGGTCTAGTGCTCTGATCTGCAAGCTTGGGTCTGGAACAAGAGTCTTGGTCCCTGCAAAGGGGCCAAATCTGGGTGTGATCTGAGCCATGCTCCTAGGAATGGGGTTGGGCTGGGCCTTTGGAGATGAGGTGTCCATGTAGGGTAAGATCTGGTCTATTTGTTTCAATAATTGGGTCTGGGGAGGGGTCTTGTCCTTTTATTCCTCTCCCTCACTCCCCCCACCCCTTAGGAATCACAGGTGGTTTGTTACTGGATTCTAGACCCTCTTGATATTGCAGCTGGTGGATTCATAACACTGATTCTCGTTGGCTTGTCCGGGGAATAGTGCAACAAAGCCTGCTTTCATGCTTGGTTTTGATTTGTCCATAGAATGGAAGCTGTCATGGTTCCACTACCTACATTATCACACTACTCCCTCTCTCCTGTCTCTGGTGGGGGCAGTAGCTCCTTCTCTTCGCAGTCCCAAAAGATTCAGTTTTTGGCCCTTCTCCTGCTTCGTTGTCTATCTTCTCTAGCTCAACTTTGGCATTGATGATACTCAGCTATATTTCCTCATAGACCTTCATTGAGTTCTCTCATGTCTTGACCAGGTAAACTGGTGGGCTTCATCTCAGCATCCGTCACCGGGATGTCTCAAAGTCAGAAAGGTTTCAGAGTAACAGCCGTGTTAGTCTGTATTCGCAAAAAGAAAAGGAGTACTTGTGGCACCTTAGAAACTAACAAATTTATTTGAGCATAAGCTTTCGTGAGCTACAGCTCACTTCATCAGATGCTAAATCGGATAATTTATGGGAAAAACATCTAGACACTGGCATAGGTGATGTTATAGTCGCAGAAAGAGACAAACAGCAGCTTCTCCTCAACCCAAAAAAGAGCAGTGTTTTGTGTGGGGTGAAAACTTGTCTTGGGCTGGAAAGCTGTGGTGTTGTCAGTAATCAGGTTGGTTTGTTTGCAGCTCTGAGGAAGGCCCGGAGGCAGCAGCAGTTGGTCAGTAAGAGACTTCTGCGAGAAGACAGCCTGGTGAATGGAGACGGGCAGGCTGGAGTGGACATAGCAGCAGAACCTCTATCTGAGCAGGAGGTGAAGGGTTTATACCATTTGTCTCTGGTTCTAGGTATTCACTGCAATGTCTTTCACTGGCCCTAGCCTCTGTTAATAATAATAATAATAATTAATAATAACAATACTAAGTTAATATAGCTGGTTGGATTCCATAGTGTTTTACAGACTGCTATATAAGCTCTAGCTGTAGCACCTAGGTGCCAGGGTTAGTATCAATACCCTTTGGAAGAGTGCCATGGCATCTTGAATGACCATAAGTGATCATGCCTTTAGGCATGTGATTTTTACCCTGCAGCTGTGCTTGACATCCACTCAGCTGTTTGTTTTCCGCCAGATTTTGCAGCTGCTGAGGGATGTCCAGAGGGGAACAGAGGAGAGGAAGACATTGTTGAGTCGCCTTCGACAGGGACTGCAGCAGAAAGAGACGCAGCAGAAATTTGTCAGGTTAGCCAGTCTGTGCTTCCATGCTATGTCCAGTCCCAGGCACGGCTAGTCTGTGCTCATAAAGGATCCAGCTAGCAGTGGGCCCCTCTGGTAGTGGCCATTGCAAGGACATGGCTGTGGATCCACTTAGACGGGGATGGGCCCACATATCCTCTGTAGCAGGGATCAGTGTAGCTATTTCTGTGATATGGGAAATTTTGTTGTGGTTGGGAGTGTGGCTCAAGTATCTGCATTAGAAAATGTCTCCATCCCTTTCTTTTCTGTGACCACTTCCTTTTCCCACTGAGAGAAGACCTTACATTATGTGGGCCAGCGCCCTAGATAGCCTGGCCCGAATGCCTTTGTGCTCTGCTGGGTTGTGGATGAGGCTGAGCTGGGAGAGTCCCACTGGAACAGAGGAGGTTATGGGGGAAAGCTGGACGTAGCCACTCTAGACTGCCAAAAGGAGGCTGAGAGCTTGCAGGACATGACTCTATCTGATTTTGATCAGGGAAATATATTGCAAAGGATTCTTACAAGGCTCTTCACTGTGCTCGAGAGAGCTGTGTGCTGTACTCTCCTGTCTGCGTGGTTTGCTTGAGACTTTATCCTGCTCATGTTCTTATAGGGAGAGCTGTCCGGCATTGCAGTTCCCTTCTGGCTGGACAGGGACAGCTTTGTTAGGCTCTCTGCCATGCCACATAGTGGTGGCAAAGTGACTTTAGAAGGCAGCAAATTTGACTGCTCAAAGACAGGAAAGGAGGGGGGGAAGGAATAAGAGAAAATATTGTAAAAGAAGTGGGACAAAGTCAATATCCAAACACTGTGCCAAATCCAGCCCTGTGTAACTGCAGTGAAGTCAGAGCAGGAATTAACCTGGCCCTTTCCAGTCAAGTGGTCTGAGGAATGGCCAGGCCAGCCCATGAACTGGGCAGGTTTTTGGTGCCTGGTCTCTGAGAGACAACTTGCCCTCCTGACCCTGGGACATCAGGGTGGGAGGAGTGTGTGTGTGTGTTTTGGGAAAGGGGGGGCAGCAGAATGAAACAATGTCATGTTTTGCTTTTGCAGGTTGGAGGGCAGCATGCGGGTCCTGATCGGGCTCTTCACCAGCAGCTTGGCCAACATACAGATGGAGGCAGCTCGCTGTCTGCACGAACTCTCACACTCCAGTGACCCTACTGTGGCTGAGGCGTGTTTGCCAGCAACCTCCTATCTCCTGACCTATCTCTCAGGACACAGTGTAGAATTCACAGTAAGATGCGGGCCTGTATTTCTCCATTGTTCTTGCATCTGCTGGGCTTTCATTAGTGGTTGGACTTCTGAGATTGAGTGGCCAAAATGTAGCCCATTGGCCAGATGCAGCCCACAAAGGTCTCCAATAGAGTCCTGCAGCTGCCCTCCTCTTCAGGACAGAGCTACATCTTGTGGAGACTACAGGTGCCCCTGTGCAGTGCTCCATCAGTGGCTTCCTGGCTGAAGGTAGAACAGTGGCCCTGTAGCCTCTGTGATGCATCTCTACAATGGATAAAAGAGAACTGCTTGACACAATGTATTTAGACTTTCAAAAGGCTTTTGACAAAGCCCTTCATAAGAGGCTACTAAAGAAGCTAAATAATCAGGGGTAAAAGGCAAAGTATTGTTGTGGATCAAAAATGGGCTAAAGACAGGAAATGAAGAGTAGGAATAAATGATTGGTTTTCATGATGGCAAAGGTTGACAGCCGAGTGCCTCATGGTTCCATGTTAGGTCTGATGTGGTTTAATATATTTATTAATGCACTGAAAAGGGGGGTGAACAGTGACGTTACAAAATTTGCAGAAAGCTATTGAGGTTAGTCAAGTCCTGATAAGACTGTGTGGGACATCACCAAGCTAGGTAATGGGCAACACAAGGCAGCTGACGAGCAGTGCAGATAAAGGCAAAGTAATGCACGGTGGAAGAGAAAATGTATACTACTCACACATCTCACAGGGGTTTAAATTAACTATCAGCTCAGGAAAGGGACAGACAGTGCAATGAAGACAGCTAGTGAATGTGTGGCTGCAGTGCAAAACCCAAGCAGGATGTTACAGTGTAGAAGGAGTGAGATAGAGAATAATCCAGAAAATAATCGAATGTCTTTATAGAAATGGATGGTACTGCCTTAGCTGGAGACTGTATGTAGAACTGGCTCCCCATTTCAAAAAGTGTGGTGCAGTAATAGGGGGGGCTCAGAGAAGGGCGATGAGAATGATTATGTGCTGGAAAAACTCTCCTGTGAAGAGAGATTGGAATAACTGGTATTGTTACTTTAGAGAGGAAACAAATAAGAGGGAACAAGATAAAAATCTATAAAAGGATGAATGGTCTAAAGAAGGGAGATCGGGGACTTCTGTTCTCCATGTCTCATAACACAAGAACAAGGGGACACTTAATGAAACTGAATTAAAGGTGGCAAATTCCAAACTGAGAAAGGAAATACTTCTACACTCAGTGTGTAATCAGACTGTGCAACTCACTGCCACAGGATGTCATTGTGGCCAATACGATTCAAAGAGGGTTTGGACAGTCATATGGCTAACATGAATAGCCAAAGTTAGTGCAAACAAAGTCTTGGAAGGGATAAAAAAAAACCACTAACTCTTCAGCGTTTAAGTCAGTCTCTGACTATTGTGGGTTGAAGTGAGACCTTCATAGGGGACAGACCATCCCACATCTATCTCCCTATCTGCCCCTTCCTCTGAATCATCAAGTAGTCTGAAGCATCTGGCACTGGGTACTGTCTGTGATAGGAGGCTGGATTAAATGGACCTTGAGTCTGACCCATCTGGCAGTCCCTGTGTTCCTATATTGCAGAGGAGGTTAGCTACACCTTGCTCCAGCAAGTATGTCCTTTGGATTCTTGTTGTTGATAGTATGACCCTCAGATGCACTAAATTTGTGTGCCTGTGTCTAGCTAGCCAGGAGCCTCCTGCACAAGCAGGGAACGCTGTGCTAGGTAAAGTGACTGAGTTAGCAGTAGCTTCTCTGGCTCTGCTGGTCCTGGAAACCACACCTCTCTTGCCATTAGTGCAGCATTCATGCATCTCAAGGTGCTGTTTGTTGCTCTCTAGTGGCAATATCGCCGTAATGCCAGTAGGGGGCACTCTCATCTGGTTGGATTGGTGGGGCACTTGTGGCACATAGGGAGCGTAACTGTGGTCCCCCACGTCTGTGTTTTAGGAGCTGTGTTTGTACACGCTGGGGAACTTGGCAGTGGAGAGTGATGCCGTGAGGAAGCAACTTTTACCTCAAGGCATTATTCCAGCCCTGGCATCCTGTATCCAGGTGAGTGATCCAGCTAGCCTATCTCTGGCTCTTCCTACGAGCCTTGCCAAGCAGGAGGGGGTATTTCCCTGCGTTCTTGAACTAGTGGCTTAGTGTAGTCACTCAGAGCTTCTTTGAATGGCACAGCATCGCTTCCTGTCACGGGGCAGGCCGTGTGCAGAGGGCACTCTGCAGAGAGCTGAGCCCAGTTGCGGGTGCAGCTGGGCATACGCCATGTGCACTGCCATATACAATTTTAATTTCCTGGGGTAACATTTTGATGGTGGCTGACATGGTTTTTATGCTCCTCCCTGGCTAGATCTCTCTGTCTCTTAACCACAAGTGATCACAGGCGTGTCTGCCTTGTGAGCTTTCTGGGGGTCCTGGAGACTCAGAGGAATGGCTTGGCCATCACATGTACATATTTCAAACTAGCATGGAGCTGCGGTGAGACCAAGTTCAGCCTCTCTGCTTTACATTGAGTCATTTTGTAGATACTGACAGGTTTCAGAGTAACAGCCCTGTTAGTCTGTATTCGCAAAAAGAAAAGGAGTACTTGTGGCACCTTAGAGACTAACCAATTTATCTGAGCATAAGCTTTCGTGAGCTACAGCTCACTTCATCGGATGCATACTGTGGAAAGTGTAGAAGATCTTTTTATACACACAAAGCATGAAAAAATACCCCCCCACACCCCACTCGCCTGCTGGTAATAGCTTATCTAAAGTGATCACTCTCCTTACAATGTGTATGATAATCAAGTTGGGCCCAAAGAGTGATCACTTTAGATAAGCTATTACCAGCAGGAGAGTGGGGTGGGGGGAGGTATTTTTTCATGCTTTGTGTGTATAAAAAGATCTTCTACACTTTCCACAGTATGCATCCGATGAAGTGAGCTGTAGCTCACGAAAGCTTATGCTCAAATAAATTGGTTAGTCTCTAAGGTGCCACAAGTACTCCTTTTCTTTTTGTAGATACTGGCCTTCCTCCTTTCACTGCTGACTCCTGCTGGGTTCTATAAAAAACAATTAGGACTCCTCGTTTTTGTGGATACAGACTAACACGGCTACCCATCTGATAGTTGGGTTTGTTCTGTTGGCTCAGCCTTGTGCTCTTTGATTTCAGTCCCCTCATGTGGCAGTGCTGGAAGGCCTGGGCTACGTCCTGTCGCAGCTCCTGCAGGCCAGGGAAGCTCCCACCAAGATCATACCGTAAGCATCACTCCCTCCCCTTCCATCTGGACCGGGCACATGGCTGAGCACAGCATTTGCATCCTAGTGGCAGTTAGCATCCTCCTGGCACGTGTTATCTCTGTGATGTTAATATGCCGGAGCAGAACCCTGGCAAGGACACTGAGGTTTTGTACAGATCAGGACACTTTTCTTTGACCCCTCAGGTAATCAGCTTTCAGTAACCATAAGAGGCTGTGTGAAACCGAGGGGGCCAACAGAGAAATACTCTGGACACTTCTTCCTATTGATCTTAGTGCTACTGAAAGGAGCTGGCTCGAGAGCCCTGGAGACTGAGGCCATCTACCCCCGTGTATTCTAGCATGGGCAGCATCAGTGCAAGCCGCCCCCACAACAACCTGTTGAGGTTCCTCTGCCTTGCCTGGGAAGGACTGTGTCTAGGGTTGAGGCGAGTTGAGGCTCCGAAGCCTCTCTGCAGAGCCTGCTAATGAGGTGGTTGATTAGTGCCAGCTGTGAGATTGTCAATGCTAGATGCTTGACCTCCCACTGGAACTGGACTGACACCCCCGACTCCTTTCATGTTATTAGAGTTCTGGCCTCGTTGACAAACAGGAACATCCTGGAACATATTTACCAACAGATCTCGCCTCACGGGATGGAACCTGCCCAGTTCTCTGAGCATTGCTTTGGTGGGCATGTATTTGGGGTCTGTCCTCCCTTGGTGGAGTGTCTCCTGTTTGGGGCTTTGGAAGCGCACTGAGGGTGTTAAACCCGAGCAGCTCTGGGGAGAGCGGTACAGTTACCCTCATCAGACAGCCCAGGTTTTTGCCCCGCGTGTGACAGTGTTGCTTGTACTCCTGCTTAATCCCTCTTTAAAATCCATGTTTCTCTTAAATCTCCTTTCTGGCCCCAGCTTGGTTCTGGACTCGGTTCTCCCCCAGCACATGCTTCGATTGGTTAGCTCCAACCTGGAGCTGGGAATGGGAGTCGCCGTGGAGTTTTCTTGGTGTCTTCATTACATTGTGTGTAGGTAAATGCATTTGGTACTTACTGTATAGCTCCCCAAAGCTGCCTGGGGCTTTCCAGACACATGGAAGAAGAGCCCGACCCCCGGTGTTTGGGAACAGAAAGAGCTGCTCCTTAGTCAGTTGCTTTAGCTCAGAGACTATCTCACTCTGTGTAACCCTCTCTCAGTCCCTTGAGGAGACCTCAGAGGGAGAGCTGAGTGTCATGGAGGGTTGTCCCTTGTGTGTGCATGGCTCTATCCACTGTGGTTGGGACTCATCAGTTCTCAAACCTGTTACTAGCCTCAGTTTGTGAGATTGCTGAGGACAGGTTGGCAGTGATCCTGGGGGGGGGTTTCACCCAGTGTGGGTTACCTGCCAGCATTCTCTGGGTAAATCTCACTTAATCATTCATTGCCCTGGGGGCCTTGGGCACTGGTGTACTTTGGTCCTTCCTGTTCTCTGCCTGTGGTACATAATAGTCGAGTCTCATGGGGGCTAATTTTGGCTGCTGGGTTCAGTTATGTATGGGTGCTGTGAGTGGCCTGTGGTATTCAGGGGTCAGACTAGATGGTCTGGTGCTCCCTGCTGGCCTTGTACTCTATGGCACACCCAGTCTCGTATTATTGACACTGAACTAGAGATTGTTCCTATCCCGGTGATTCTGCAGCTCTGTGACAGGTTTAGAGTAGCAGCCGTGTTAGTCTGTATCCGCAAAAAGAACAGGAGTACTTGTGGAGACTAACAAATTTATTAGAGCATAAGCTTTTGTGCACTAGAGCCCACTTCATCGGATGCATAGAAATCATAGAAGCTCAGGGTTGGAAGGGACCTCAGGAGGTCATCTAGTCCAACCCCCTGCTCAAAGCAGGACCAATCCCCAATTTTTGCCCCAGATCCTTAAATGGCCCTCTCAAGGATTGAACTCACAACCCTGGGTTTAGCAGGCCAATGCTCAAACCACTGAGGCTAATTAATTAAGATGAGTTATTATCAGCAGGAGAAAAAAACTTTTGTAGTGATAATCAAGATGGCCCATTTAGACAGTTGACAAGAAGGTGTGAGGATACTTAACATAGGGAAATAGATTCAATATGTGTCTCTATTCAAACCCCAGTTAATGGTATCTAGTTGGCATATTAATTCAAGCTCAGCAGTTTCTCATTGGAGTCTGTTTTTGAAGCTTTTCTGTTGCAAAATTGCCACCCTTAAATCTTTTACTGAGTGGCCAGAGAGGTTGAAGTGTTCTCCTACCGATTTTTGAATGTTATGATTTCTGATGTCAGATTTATGTCCATTTATTCTTTTACGTAGAGACTGTCCGGTTTGGCCAATGTACATGGCAGAGGGGCATTGCTGGCACATGATGGCATATATCACATTGGTAGATGTGCAGGTGAATGAGCCCCTGATGGCGTGGCTAATGTGATGAGGTCCTATGATGGTGTCACTTGAATAAATATGTGGACAGAGTTGGCATCGGGCCTTGTTGCAAGGATAGGTTCCTGGGTTAGTGTTTTTGTTGTGTGGTATGTGGTTGCTCTATGAAGCTGTCCTCTTCTTTGAGCTTCCTGTCCTCCCCCTGTCTGCCCTCATGGCCCAGGTGCATGTAATCTTGGAGCTGTTGCTTTTGTAATCTGTTGCCTGGGGTTGGTTTGAGATGAGGCTCTTGCCCTGTCCTCCTCCTGGTCTTCCTTGCTGCAATTGGCGATCTGGGGTTGCACTGTCACATGACAGCTTGCCACACTTGGAGAATTCCGTCTTGCAAAGGGAAGTGTGGTGTGAGGCGTGGATACCCAGAGACAGCTATAACCCTCTGTTTCCACATGCTTTTCCCTTTCTGAAATGTTCCCCTTTTAGGCTGAAATGTTCCAGAGTTAGCTGCTGCCCTCTGGGGGACCTGCTGTATAGAATCAGAGCAAAACCCCTTCTGTCAATTTCAACTTGAGAGAATGTGAAACAATGCTACCCCCTATCTTTTAGCTGAGGCTCCAGCCAAACCAGCTGGTGAATGGACATGAGCAGGCTGAGTGGTGCTGGCTGGTTTTGGGTTCGCTCCTTGAATTCATTGTTCCTGTAATGTTCCTTTCCCTTCACAGCCATGTGAACAACATGCTGTTAATCTCCCAGGGGATAGTGTCAACCCTGGTGCTACTGTTGCTGGAACTGGCTTCCATGATGTCAAAAGCAGTTACTGAGGGCCTGGAGTTGGTAAGTAGAGGCTGTAGAGGGTCTTAGCTGGTCAGCAGTGCCACGCACTAGACCCCTGCTGTCTGAAGCACTAGTGTGAATGAGGGAGAATGCCCCATGCTGCTGTTCTTACCGTTGCAGCTTATCTGTCCTTTGCTGCGGTGTCTGAGCAACCTGCTTGCGGAGGATGAGACAGAGGGCTGCAAAGTGCAGATCCAGGATGAGCGCCTCTTGGTGGCTTTGTTTCTCTTCATGCAGTACTTTCTCCAGCAGCACCCGTTCCTAGTGCAGGAGTGTCTCTGGCTTCTCAACAACCTCACAGGTGATTTTCCTATGTACCCTGGCTGGGCATAGCACCTAATGGGAATTCTCCTAGAATTTGCTACAGGAATAGAGTGACTAACATAGCTGATGGCTGGGGTTTCTGGGACTTGCCTCAAATCAAAGTCAGGGAGACTCACATTTTTTGTAGATCACCTCTGAGAAGGGACAGAGCTCCAAAGAGACCTTGAAACAGAACCTATGGTGCTGCTACGGCTCATTGGGCTAGGACTAGACTCATGAAGGAAGGGCACACCAGAGTCTCAATTTGGGAGACATAAGATAACATACCCATAGGCAGAACAGAAAACACAGGCGTTATCTTACTACCCACTTCATCATCCCAGTGTTCCCCAGTTCTTGAGTTCCTCTCCTTGGCCGCTCACAAGTTCATCCATCTCTGACATGTTCTGGGTGGTGTGCTTGATGAGACGCAGCATGACGCTCCCTTCCAACCTAGAGTGGGGAATCCACTGTAGCTGCTAAAATTTCTTACTGTCTCTGATCTTCCATGCCCAGCTGTGCTGACACTGACACTTTCACAACATCCCCCATCCTAGTGCAATGAACACACAGAGACATATCAGACACATAGATGAACATGATATAACATGGGTTTTGTAAAGGAAAATCATGCATCACCACTCTATTAGAATTCTTTGAGGAAATCAACAAGCATGTGAATAAGGGTGATCCAGGTGACAGTCTACTTGGACTTTCAGAACGCCTTTGACAAGGTCCCACGCTATAGGCTCTTAGGCAAAGTAAGCAGTTATGGGATAAGAGGGAAGATCTGGATAAGTCAGTAACTGGTTAAAAGATAGGAGACAAAGGGTAGGAATAAATGGTCCGTTTTCACAGTGGAGAGAGATAAACTGCAGGCTCCACCAAGGATTTGTACTGGGACCAGTGCTGTTCAACATATTCATAAATGATCTAGAAATGGGGGTAAACAGTGAGGTGGCAAAGTTTGAAAACTATACAAAATTACTCAAGATAGCTAAGTCCAAAGCTGACCGCGAGGAGTTACAAAGGGATCTCACAAAATGAGGTGACTGGGGAAAAAAATGGCAGATGAAATTCAGTATTGATACATGCAAAGTAATGCACACTGGAAAAAATAATCCCAACTACACATACAAAATGAGGGGTCTAAATTAGCTGTCACCACTCAAGAAAGAGATCTTGGAGTCGTCTTGGAGTTCTCTGAAAACATCAGCTCAATGTGCAGTGGCAGTCAAAAATTCTAACAACAGGGAACCATTAGGAAAGGGATGGATAATAATACAGAAAATATCATGCCATTATATAAATCCCTGGTACACACACCCCTTGAATATTGTGTTCAGTTCTGGTTGCCCCAGAATTGGAAACTATACAGAGAAGGGCAACAGAAATGATTAGGGGTATAGAACAGCTTCCACATGAGGAGCGACTGTTCAGCTTAGAAAAGAGATGAGTAAGGGGAGTATGATAGAAGTCTATACAGTCATGACTGGTGTGCAGAAAGTTAATAAGGCAGCGTTATTTACGCCTTCATAACACGCAAGAATTGGGAATCACCCAATGAATTGAATAGGCAGCAGGTTTAAAACAAACATAAGGAAGCACTTCTTCACACAACACATAGTCAGTCTGTAGAACTCACCATGTTGTGAAGGCCAAAAGTATAATGGGGTTCAAAAAGGAATTAGATTCATGAAGGACAGGTTCATCAATGGCTATTAGCCAGGATTATCAGGGATGCAACCCCGTGCTCTGGGTGTCCCTAAACCTCTGAGTGGCAGAAGCTGGGACTGGATGACAGGGGATGGACCACTCAATAAATGCCTGTTCTGTTCATTTGTTCTGGAACACCTGGCATTGGCCACTGTTGGAAGACAGGCTAGCTGGACCATTGGTCTGACGGCCATTCTTCTGTCGAGTCTCTCCCCTTATATAGCAGCAAATCCTCTGCTTCTCTACCTCAGTCAGTGCATGCTTCTGCGAACCTCGTCTGGAAGGCCCTATCTGTTTTGGGTTTCCTTAATACCTTTGTCTCCTGATCTTCCCAGCTGATGAGTCCATCTTCTGCTCTGCTGTGCTCACACTGGACCTGATCCCAGCCCTCTTGCAGCTCTTGCCCTGTTCCCGGATGGTGACCCTGCTGGTAGGGAATCTCTGACTACATGGGATATTGTGTTCTTTAGAGCAGTCAGTTTTCTGGGCCTCTGGTGACAGGTAGGAGCCACTGGAAGAGATTATGCTCCTGTGGTTGGGCCCTGTACATAGGAGGTCCATGTGTATATCAGAGGTTTTATCAGCCCATGATGAAGGTAAGATAAGTACCAAATGCCTCACCTGGTTAATTTACCTCTGTCCTATTTGGTTCTTTTTAAAGACAGTCCCCTCCTGCATTCCTTATTAGATTCTGTATTCATGCCAGCTTATGGAGGCTCTGACTGCATCCTGCCCTGGGACGGTTTGGAGCCCATTGAAATGCTCTTCCCCATCCCAACTTGTATGTCATCCTGGGAGGAGTTGGCAGAATATGAGGGGAGCTGCCTGCCCAGGTTCTAGTCTCCTAATATGCCAGTGGATGATAAGCCATAGACCAACTGAAAGATGCTTCAAAATCCAACCAGCGAAAGAGGAGCACACCCTAATGCAGTGCAGATAAAAGGAGCAGCCGGGATCTAGCGCTGCCAGCACTTGGGCTTGGAGGCAGCCCGTTCAAGAGAAGTACGCATGAAGGGGTTTTTAAGAAAGCACTTTCAAAGCTTCTTGAACGCCAACAGGAGCTGCTGCATACTCTACCTTTCCAGCAGGCTCAGTGAGGGAAAGGCCTGGACCAGCTTGTGCTTAAACAGGGAAAACCTGAACTGGTAGCTAGCTATTGCCCCGCTCTAGTGTCTTCTGCAGGCAGGAGACTGCTTTAGCCATGGCTCCCCACCAAGCCTGCAGGGAGCTATCCTCAGGCCTTTGTGCAGCCCAGCCTGGCAGGCAGCTTCAGCACAGAGTGACTCTGGGCACACAGATGCCTGCCAGTGTACCAAGCCCCATGTTAAACACAAGTAGCAGACTCTGCATGGCCTCAACAGGGTTGTCACCCGCTCCAGAAAGCTCATCTCGCACTGCCCTGGGGCTATGCAGACAATGGCAGGTGAGTGGGGTTCTAGCATGCCAATCTCTGCCTTCGAAGGTTTGCTGTACTGCGGGGCTGTCTCCTTTGAGGGGTGACAGCATTTCCTGCTTCTCTCCATGTCCTCCCAGGAGGTGGAGTTACCCAGACTGCACCATCTTGCGGCAGGGAGACATACAGGACTGTGATAGATGGTTGGGTCTAGTCAATATAAAACTTGTGACCAACTTCAGTTATGTCAGTTCCCCGGGTGTCAGCTACTGAGCCATGCAGCTTGGGATACTCATGCCAGCTCCCTCTCTAGGCTCTGACTGTGCTGTGTAACATCGCCGAGAAGGGCCCTGCCTACTGCCACCAGCTGCACCAGAAGGCTGTGCTGCCCTCGCTGCTCAGCACCCTTGCTCTTTCTGATGGCCAGGTGGTGGGCCAGAGTCTGGAGCTGCTACATCTCCTCCTCCTGCACCTGCCAGAGGTAGGGCTCAGCTCAGGCCTCCAGTTTCTCTGCATTGTGCAGTGGCCGGGGAACCACAGTGGTAAACTAACAGCTACCACCTAACCTGAGTGGGGGAATTAAGAGGCTATGCTGTGGAAAGGTGCTGGGGGAACCCTGCTCCCTCAAGGCCTCTCTGTATCCAAAGAGCAAGGAGAGCACAGTCCATGGGAACCTAGCTCCTGGGGTGGGAGGTACATTAGAAATTAATCCTTCAGCCCCTTTCCCAAGAATCAGGCATGATGGGTTCTATGATAGAGACCATGGAGAACTAGATCCACTCATGCCCCGTGGGCTGCTCAGCTGCCTCCATTAGGCTGGGCCTAGCTCTAATCTGCTGTCTGTCGTGGAACAGGCTGCTGACGACTTTCTCAGCCAAGCAGGACTGCAGGCCTTAGAACAGCACCAGGACAACCCCCAACTCCAGGAGCGAGTGAGGGCACTCAGGGAGACATACCTCCAGCCAGCTGCAGCCTCTCCGATCTCCCGCGCCAGTGCCTCAGCTGCTGTACTGCCCTCCTCCTAGACCACGCTGCATCCACTCCTGCTTCCCTTCCCATTTGCACTAATTCTATCCTATGGACTTTGTACATTGAGAAGTTATTTTGGAATTTAATAAACTATTTTACACTCTGCCCTCTGCTGTCACAGCGTGAAGCCAAACCCTAATAGGGCAGTGCCAGCTGATTTTACTGCCCCCCAGCTGTCTGGAAAGTCTATGGGGTGGTTCCCTAGAGAATAGAAGCCATAACTCAAGCCCACGGACTGCAAGAGGTTAGCTCACCCTTCTCCATAAAAGCACCTTCCCTCCAGCACAGCAAGCTGCTCACATGACTACTCAGGTAGACTGAGTAGAAGGGAAGTGGCTATGTCCTGGACAAGAGGTGGGTGTACCTCAGTGGATTTGCTCCCTCTTCAGTGCCCCCCACCCTGAGTGGGAGGATAAGGAGCTACCTCCCAGCTTAACATCTCTTTCAGAACAGACTCTCAGAGCACTTTGTCAGACATGCTTTTATATGTGATTAATAAGTTACAATTACAGATATACAGCTTCTCCATTAAACCCATTCAGCCAAGGGCTCCAGCACATGCAGGTTCAGTTCTCTTTGTCTTCATGTTTTGCTGTGAACAACATTTTCCAGGGCCTTGGCCACTTGATCCACATTGAGATTATTCAGTGGCACGCAACTCTCTCTGCCGAACTCTAGGGGGGGGAGAGAGAGAGAGAGAGAGAGAGTAGAAGAGGCACCTTCTCCCTTCCCCCAGGAGAGGCCATGCTGGATTTATTCCCTAGTGCCTTGGCCTGTCTCCTAAGTGTAGGTTTTGACAAGCTGGTCAATTGACCCCCTAATATTTGACCATGGTCAAATATTCCAACAGGAGTACCTGATGTAGGTGATGACTGACTTTTGTGACTGCATGATGGAGCCATTCCTTCATTTTTTTAAACTTCATTTCATTGTGTTTTGCATTTATCTGAGTTAAAATAACTCAGTTAAGTACATTGGTTTTTGTAGTAAGGCATAAGTGGCTAAGGCAAAGCCTATTGCAGACCATAGTTTTACTCTTTTTTTGTTACTGTTCTAACAAATTAGTGCTCTAAAATATTTGACCAGTTATTTTTAGATCGGTCAGATACCCAACCCGAGTGTTCTATAGCACAGGGCTTTCCACGTATCCCATAACCTCTGTGTAAAGAGCCTTTCCTGAACTCAGCTTAAGTGTTCCCCTTTCTGTTTCTTAATTATAACCCTCCTCTTCCTCCGTGGTGTTCACACACTTCAAAACATTTGCAGATTTTTTCCCTCCCTTCTAGTTTTTGCTCATCTGAATTTTGCATGTTTAGCCCACTTTCCTTGTAAGTCAGCCCCACCCCCCTGAATTTGTTACGCAGACAGACTGTTTCACTGGCTAGCCCCCAGCAGGAGCAAGGAAGAGACAGCCTACTACCCCAAGTTGTGAGGGACACTTGTATTGAAGGCAGAGCAGACTTGTGTTTTCATTTTTAGCTGCAGCCTGTTCATCTCAGAGTCCTGACTAAGGCTTGGGGAAAAGCTGTTTGAAAAGATTGGTTACTGCACTGACTGCCACTTGGCACTACAGCTCTCCTTCTCAGTTCTCACGGAGCTTCCATTATAACAGCGTTCTGCATGCTAACTAAATATCGCAAGTCAGAAAAGCAGCATTTCCTGTGGTAGTCTTCAGAATCCCCCCATTCTCATGGTTTAGTAAGAGATTAAGTCTATGTAATTAACTGGCCTTCTTTATGCTTCTGATTCCACCACAAAATTTTTTTTTAAAACTCCAACCAGAGTTCATGGCTAATCCTCAATGGGTCAGTTTAAGCTTGGAAGTGCTATAAATGGTTTGCGCCATATGAGATTTCCACTTTGGTTCAAGGGCTGTAGTTGTGAGCCTCACTAACTTTTTGCAACTATAGTGTAGCTACAAAGGGGACATCTACAGAGCAAAACCCAAAACCCTGTGGCAGCTAGTCTCAAAGCCTAGCTCATCTGATTCAAGTTTGCACCACAGGGCTAAAAATAGCAGCGAGGAAGTTCTCACTCAGGCTGAGACTGGGCTTGGAGACTCTTCCCCCCGCCCTTCACTGGGTTTCAGAGTTCAGGTTTCTGCCCATAGTGTGAGCTCAAGGCAAGAACTTTCTGTTGCAAGCATTCAGCCTGCAGTCAAGCACATGTGTGTCTGTGTAACAACTCTGTACATTTAAAGCAACAGACCACTCTTCCAGTTTAGCTACATGGGGAGAAGTTTGTCTATTGTGAGTGTGCAGCACATTTTAAACACTTTTTTTTTTTAAAAGGAAAAATCTGTTTATTTCAAAGGCTACCATTACATTGAAAGCTTCACAGAGACACTTCTGCATGAGACAGGGCATTCTAGTGTTAACAGGGTCACCCAATTTTATTTTATTTACTAATTTTTTTTTAAACTTACTTTCTGATAGAGCCCTGTTCAGACAGTATGTCCTGAATGCTTTTTAAAAACATTCCTTTAAGAAGTGGAAAGTTTTTCCTGTTCGCTTGGTATTTATAAGGGTCTGTCTAGCTAGGGATAATTACTATAGACTAGGGAAACAATGAAACCATTTACACAAACAAGTAAAACTGGAAGAAAAAAAACCAAAAAACAGAAACCTAGCAAAAAATATCCAGCTTTGTTACAGGAATTTTAGATGGGGTAACAACAGTAGGTACAAAGTTTTTAGGTGTACTTGTAATTTTCAAATTGACTATCCCTTTAAAGATTCACACCACAAAGTTCACTTAGCCCCACTATGCATATGCATAGACACATACATACACACACCGTTCAGAATCACTGTTTAAGCAGTTGAACTGATAGGGCAGGGCACCGCTGCAAGTACCCTGATTTCTGAACTTCCTAACGACTTAATGCATCAGACTTCCATTAGGCAGTTTTTCCCCTTTAGTTTGTATAGTGCCTCTTTGCTTTCCTCTTTCCCAAACCAAGCAGGTCCTAACCTCATCTCTCCACATATGGCAACTCCTCCTTGATGTGTAATTTGCATTGCTCTTTTCTGGATTGCAAGCAGTTTATTGATGAATTTCTATTTTGATAGAGACCCCACTGTTTGTCAAATTTGGACCTAATGACATTGACTAGGGCTCCTTCCCAACTCACCATATCGAGCCCAGAGCCTAGGCTGCACATCAGAGCACTCCCGGATCAGGATGGGGAAGTCCGGGTTTGCCTTCTTCAGAGTCACATAGTGCTGTTCAATGAAGTCTCTGTCAAAAACAGAGCTAATTAAAGCTCTGTGGCACTTCCAAGTACAATTATGTCAAACTAAAGAGAATAAGTAGTTTTATCTACTGGGATCTCAGAAGTGTTATATGCACCTGGCCCTTCCAAAGCATCCATAGCCTCTGGAAGCAGGCAGTAGAGAGGACCACACTCTATGGAAGGGTACAATAATGAACATCTTGTCTGTACACCAATTTCGGGGAGGGGGAAGCCCTCAGGCTAGCCAAATGCAGGGTCCCATTTTCCCTTTGGGAAATATGGTCACCCTAGGCAGAACCCACCCCCCCAGTCCTGGTTTGCAGGGTGGCTCCAGACATCTCACCGGACGTGTGGTTGCTCATTGTCTCCCTGCCTGTCTGGATCTGCCCGGTGTCTCTTGGTTTATGACTGTAAGATCCGTGGGGCAGGGACCATTTCTCTGAGGGAGCCGTGCAGCACCGGGCACGCTGGGGTCCTGCTCCCTGCCCGTGTAATGTGAAAAACCGCAATCTGTCTTAATTTGCTACCAGTAGCAGTTACTGATATTAAACTGCTCTCTGAGAATCTGCTACTGAAACAGGGATAGCAAATTCTAACCCGTTGCAGGTACTGATAAGTAAGGTTGTTCTTACTTACTGACTTGTCCTAATTTGCTAAAATTTGACAATGGTGTGGGATAGAAGCATAAAGTCTTTGGCTTCCAAAAGACCCTGCCTGGTGTACATATGTATTAATTACCTCTTAATTGAGTGAGGTCATTTAAACGTCATTTATTTTGCAGCTTCATTTACTGTGCTAGCAAAACATAGCAAGTGCAATACTAGAAACACAGGTTTCAGAGCGATAGCTGTGTTAGTCTGTATCAGCAAAAACAATGAGTCCTTGTGGTACCTTAGAGACTAACAAATTTATTTGGGCATAAACTTTCGTGGGCTATAACCCACCTCATCAGATGCATGGACTGAAAAATACAATAGGCAGTTATAATTATACAGCACATGAAAAGATGGGAGTTGCCTTACCAAGTGGGGGGTCACGAGGAGTACTAACAAGGCCGATTCAATCAGTGTGGATGTGGCCCATTCCCAACAGTTGACAAGAAGGGGTGAATTACAAAAAGTAATTTTCCCTCTTTTGATATGACCCAGCCACTCCCAGTATTTATTCAGGCCTGATTTGATAGTCAAGTTTGCAAATTAATCCCAGCTCTGCAGTTTCTCACTGAAGTCTGTTTTTGAAGTTTTTTGTTGAAGAATGGCCACTTTTAGTCTGTTACCGAGTGTCCAGGAAGATTGAAACACAGATGTCATTGCTAAAAACTACTAGCAAGTACTTACTAGACATATTTTCAATGAGTATTATTAAAATATAAATTAAAATAGCACAATGACCTGCATCTGCAAATTAACAAAGGTAAATGATGAAGTGCTTAGAGTAATTCAGGGAATCCCAGCAGCAGACAGAACAAATTTGTGAACTGCTATGAGACTTTATGCAGTCAGATACACTGATAAGGGATTCTTGTTTCTGAGGGGGTGTATGTAAAATATTTCACTGAATCAAGTCTCCTGCAGCGCCTCAGTAGATTACATCAGACAGAGAGGAGCTGCGGTGACTAGGCATTGGGATGCCTATGCCTTTAAGAACTCAGTACTGGGAAGCCCATACTGAGATGTACTGTCCTGTGGGAGGGGAAATGAAAAAGGCCCTCTGCCCCCACCCCCTATTTTTGGGAACACTGTTGTCTCAGTCCAGTAACTGTTACCCCCTCTGCCCCTGCCAGGGTTTTGCCATCCTTGGGCTTAACCCCGGCACCTCCCCCATTTTACCTTTCAGCCCCTATCCTAACCCTGCCTCCAACTGCTTGAAC